AGCCATGAAGGTAAGCTAACAAACTTCTGCTCTGAGTTACTAAAGATGCTACATGCTAGCTCTCCACTAGCCTAAGTTAACACAACAAGGAAACGTTATTGGAGCGATAAGTAAGGTCGTGCGTGTTTTTCGTGTATGAAATGAAAAAAAAAACAGTTTATATGTTATTCTCAGTTTTAATCATGCAGTCAGGAGAGGTCACGGTTAGGTCCGAGTGTTTCAGGTCAATGAGGAAAAACCAGAAGCCCCACTGTCTGAGTGTAGGGAAACGTTACCCTGCAGGTTCAGTGCAGGATTGATTCAGGTTCAAAAGAAGACTGTTCATGTTTTTAAACGTCACATTTTTGCGAGTCATATCATTGCTTTTAGTTTGATAACAGGTTAATGACATGCCTGAACTACGTGTGTCATGTGGTATCAGAGATACAATGTGTCCCAGAAAGAATGTAGTAAGTAAAGTTTGTATACATAGCATGTCACAGAAAGTCAAACATTAGATGACTCGCAGAAGCACAACGTTGTTTACAGTTATTTTATTTGTTTCCATTACTTGTTCTACTCTTCTATTTTAAAATGAGTTAAGTGAAGTTAATCATCAATGTGCAGCCTTGTGATGTCATGTGGCAGCTCAACTCTACCAGACAGCACATTTCTCCCAGCTGAAACTTACATCGCCCCCCCCCCCCCCCAGTGTTGAGCTGCACAGAAACTGAACAACAGTGGCACAAAACGGGGACCAAGGTTACAATCTTTTAATGATACTATTATTATGTGTATACATATTTCTGTTATAGCCTTTAAACTTGTTTTTATTTGGAAACAAGGTATTAAACCAGGTCCAGTTAATGACATGGTCATCATATCAGCCAGACCAAGAGAGAGGAGACCGGTAGAATGAACAAGGTATGTTTTTCTTTCTGTACTGCACGCACACACACACACACACACACACCTTGCAGTACTCCTTGATGGCTGTAGGCTCCAAAGCAAGACCCCAACATTTGTCATCAGTCTGACTACTTGTTCACAAGTATGAGATACTATCTCATAATAATGAGATAGTATCTCATTAGATACTAAGTCATAATAATGAGATAGCTAAGCCATAATTATGAGATAATAATTTTTTTTTATTTTATCTGAGTGGCGGGAATGGGCTTCCATACAATTGTGATGAAAAAATGTAGAGAGAGAGAGAGAGAGAGAGAGAGAGAGAGAGAGAGAGAGAGAGAGAGAGAGAGAGAGAGAGAGAGAGAGAGAGAGAGAGAATAGGAAAGAGGGAAATCAGTGAAAGAACAGGACAAGGACAGAGTGGTGGAGAACGTCATACAAATGCATGACTACACAGGTTCTTGGTCGAATGACAGAGACTGGACAACGTAATGCCTGATGACCTTTGGCTCTACGTGCCTTTCTTAATGCTACAACATCGTTGTTTGGGTTTTGCATATTTATAGGTGGAAACCACAGTAAATGTAAATCCCCCATATTTTAGAATCTTTGCAGATTTGTTCACGGATGAATCTGTTAAGAAAACACATTCTTCATCGATAAAACGTTAAGGGAGTGCGCTTTCCATATTATCATTAAAGACAAGAGCGGAACATGATTTTTAGAGCATTTTATTCCTTTTCTTCTCTACTGGCCTCTTTGACCCACATTATTCACAACGGTGGCTGATGATTATGCAGCGATGTTATAAAAAGAGTCAAACACTTGGACAAACACAGACGTGACATCACTTTTATCCTACAACTTCAGCGAATGAGAGGTCAGATCAAAGTCAGCCATGCAGGTTGTCTGATATGCAAAAAAAAAATCTGAGTATTATTTTAATGATGATCCTAAATTTGTCACCAGTACTGTCGACAATTAATAAATACATGTTAACATTTTCAATAAATAGCTTAAATATTTATAAAAACATAAAAAAGACACAGATAGAAATAAATACAAATATCTGACACCACATAAAGTGCAAATTTGTCACATTACACACAGAAACACTGCAGTTTCATTTGGGACTGTTGGGTCCACGCCTACTTAAAACATCTAAATAAGGGATAAATGAAATCTCTTTAACAAAAAATGGTACAAATGAGTCAATTTTGGACAAATTCTGCATCATTATTATAAACTATTTACTGGAAAGATTTCTAGAAAGAAGGTAAACTGCACGTGAATGTTTCTTCAGACCCTAAAACTCACGGTGTCATGTGTGATGTTGTCCACTAGGTGGCAGACTAAGACAGGTCTGCTGCTTGATGCTTCAAAACTACACACCCCAACAACAAATAAGACCACACCACTAAGACACTCTCCACACATCTACAACACTTGGCCTATTATAGATTTCACCGACAGCCGGGCACTGATGGATTGCATATTGTTCCAATATTTAAATACAAAATTAACTTGACAGGATTCCCAAACGAGAACACATCTAATCTACAACAAACCTCAGTGGAATTAGAAAAGGTGAACGAATGAGATCTTCAGCCACTTCGCCTCATCACCACACATTTATATACCGACACACAACTGCACGTTTGACTACGACCAGCAGACACGGAACCATTGTTTTCCTTTTCTCGTCTAGATCACAATGTAAACGTAATAATGACACCAAATAAAACAGCGACATTGGCAGCACATTGCATAGTGTCCCTGTCCAAATTAGTTGAATCTGCCCTTTCAAGCCCTCTAAAAGCCCTTAAACAGATCTGACACAAACAAACAAACAAACGAACGAAAATCTAATTTACTACAGTTCTGCAAAAATGTTGGTTTATTGGTCCAGTTTCATTTTTATATTCTTCACTGCATCAAAATCTGTTTGTCCTCTTGAAGTAAACAAAGCCTGCCCTGATGCCGATTTCTTGTTTTTGCATTATTTCACACCTAAATGTTTTCAAACAGCAAAGAAATCTCAATCTGAGTAAACAAATAAAGCCAATGATGATTTCAGTCGTTGAGGGAAAACAGCAGAAAAGTCTCTAAAGCCGTCCCGTTAGCCACGCCCAGATCCGGTCACTACCAGAGCTGCAGAATCAGGAATCACTTCAGTAGAACCCGTCTGACGTCGTGAGGTAGGCTAAAAGATCTCAAAAAGCAACACATCATGTCCCACCCTGAAGAACGGAATAACCCAGAACATCTCCAGCTCTGCAGGAGTCACATGGTTAAGGCATGATGTCATTGATCAACAGCCAAGAAGGAGCCAGGGGCAAAAGGGACCACAAAGACTTCTGGGTAAATTATCTGAGAACATTCTGATAGGAGTGTACCCCACTCAATCTGGAGACAACAGTCGGACATGGTGGTGGTAGTGTGATGGTCTGGAGCTTCAAGACCTGGACCACCTGCTGTAACCATGAATGACCTTTGTCCTTAAACAGGCCCTCCAGTAGGGTCAAATGGACCTGGTGTCTAACTCCTGTAGTCCTCAGGTGAGAGGTGGGGGACACCCTGGACAGGTCTCCAGTCCCTCACAGGGACACTCAGAGACAGTCAACCAGTCACACACACACTCACTCACCTAGGGACAACTGGGGGTGCCAACCAACCTGGCATGCAGAGTTTGTTCTGTGGGAAGAAACCAGAGGACCAGGAGAAAACCCACACCTGCATGGGAAGAACATGCTAACTCCACGCAGAAACACCACAGCTGGGATTTAAACCTGCAACCTTCTCGTAGTGACACACCAGTGCTACCAGCTGCAGACTCAGAGTTGTTTCTAGTCAAACGTCTGGAGGTCGGTCACGTTTTCGCACAGGTCCAGGTTGACTTGGATCACTTTGCTAAATGAGTAAATAAACTCGTTCCTGGTCCTTTTCTCACTCCCTTTCCTTACATTTTTTAATCACAATTTTAATTTTCTTTGTCATTAAACACTTTCAACCATTTTTAAAAATCTTTTTAAAATTCAAAATTTTTTGTTTTTGTGAAGCGCCTCATGATTTTTATCTTGAGGCGCTTAATGACAGTAAGCATAACGTGTGCGTGTGCACTAATGGGTCTTTAGCCCAGGGGCAGCAGTAGCTCAACAGGTTGAGCGGGTTGTCCAGTAATCGGAAGGTTGCAGGTTCGATCCCGGCTCCGGACAGAGAACTCTGCTGTTGTGTCCTTGGGCAAGACACTTAACCCACCTTGCCTGCTGGTGGTGCTCGGAGGGACCGGTGGCGCCTCCGTCAGTGCGCCCCAGGGCAGCTGTGGCTACATCGTAGTTCATCCCCACCAGTGTGTGAGTGTGTGTGTGAATGGATGAACGATACACTGTAGAGTAAAGCGCTTTGGAGTCCTTCCGCTGAGAGGCGCTGTACAAGTGCGGGTCATTTATCATTTAGCAGAATTCCACTTGTTCTTGTGTTGCGTTCAGAAGTTGTTCACAGTGTTCTCAAGGTATTTCTTAACTATTTTTAAAATATTTAGTATTTTTATTGTCAGACATGCATTAGGATTTATGCATTTGTATGTACATTATACACATGTGATGAACATAGCGCACTTGTCTCCATGACGACGTATTTAGTCTACATGTATTCTGAGTCCCTATGAAGTCACGAGATGCTACCGATGTTTTTATCACGAGTGATGCTTGGAGCTCCAACTTTTATCTGAGTGTGCGGCGCCAGCGCTGGCTGAAGCAGTGCCTTGACCTCCACGTCGCACTCCCCCCCCGGTTGACGCGTCTGTCTTCCCTCCTGAGCCTCCCTTCTTCTCCTCCACTGTCTTTGAGGCGTCCTTCACCTTGCTCCCCTCCTGCGAGGCTCCCTTCATCGGCCCGAGGACAGTTTTGGCCACGCTCGTCAGCTGAGTGACGAAGCTGGTTTTATCACCGGGGGAGACGGACTGGGACTTGCTGAAGGGGAGTGAGGCTGAGGAGGGGGACGTGGGGTTCTCGTCCAGGACCTCCAGGTGAGCCTTCTCCTCTCTGGCGTTTCGGGTGCTGGGTGTGGGTCTCTCTGCTCTGTGTCTGGCTGTTTGGAGCTGGGCTGGGGTTGGGGGCGCGGGTCCTTTGGTTTTTGTTGAATTTGACGTTTTTTCAGTCACTTTCTCTCCAGCATCAGAGCCTTTGCAGGGTTTGGACTGATCTGCTGCTGATGCTTTCCACGTGCTGGCCTTGTTCACGCCTGCAGGACCTTTCTCCTTGTCCTCTGCCATCTCCCGAGCTTTAGCTGCAGGTCCAGAGTCAGTCGGAGCACTCTGCTGCAGACCCTTTAGTGTGAACGGAGCAGAGCTAGATCTTCTCTGGCACACTCCTGCCTCAGAACCTGAAGCACTGGAAGTATTTTCTGTCGGTGAAGTGCAAGACTTCATCTCAGCCGCGGCTGAACGTCCTGCGCTTTTAGCATCAGCAGCGGACGATTGTTTATTCACTTCCACGACACCAGTTTTAGACTCTGCAGGGGGAACCGTGTTCTCAGAGAGGTCCGACGCTGACACGTCTTTGTCTTTTGCCGTTACGAGTGCATCTCTGCTGAGAGGCGACTCCTGCCTCCCCAGCCTCCTCACCTGATTGGTGCCTCCTATGTCTGCTCCCAAAGGAGGAGACGGAGAAGAGGATGTGGATGGAGATGGTGGAGCAGGTCCATTCTCCCCTTCTATCTCCAGCAGACTCTGCAGGCTGTGTTCACAGTGGAAAGACTCTCTCCTGTAATCCCCGTGGCTCACCTCCAAGCTATGCTTACGTAAAGACACGCCCCCTGTTAGAGGAGAAGGTGACGATGACGAGGAAGAGGAGGAAGGCTGGATGGGCGCTCCCAGTTTCTCTGCAGATTGAACCCGCTGCAGCAGGGGGGACCTTGGCGGCTCAGCGCTTTTGGGACGAGGGCGGGCGACGGGAGGCGAGGAATGCAGCTTGGCGGGAAACGTTTGGGTGGTGTTGGAGCTCCCCACTGTGTGGCCAGCAAGAGGTGGAGGGGAGGAGGTGGTTGGGGACGGGGTGTGGGCCAGAGGGGACAGTGGGATGTTGCCAGCAGATTTGCAGCGTGCCGAGCGGTATTGGCGGTGCAGTTTGGGGGACAGACCGTGGAGGGAGCTGGGCCTCATGTGGTGAGACGTTGCGGGGGAGTTGGGGGTGCTGGACGCTGGGGAGCTGCTCTGGGAGGATGTGCCTGGGGAGACCAGAGGAAATGTTTTACAGTTTTCAGCTGGCCTTATGTGGACTAATATCCTGTTAACCACTGATTAGATTTAAATGACCGTGATTCAAGATGGCCACCATTGCTAATCCATCTTAGCTAGCATAAAAGTATTATTATGAATTATCATATTCATTATTACAAAGCCAGCATTTCACTGAGTTGGAGTCCCACCCGTGATTCATTTTCATCCTGACCTAGGTAAGAGGATTCCAGTGTGGAGCGGTAGCTCTGCGTGGGAGAGCGCGCGGACAAGCTGTGGGTGGGGGATCCTGGGAGGCTGTCTCCCGAGGACAGGGAACGATTCAGAGAGGAGAGGCTGCGGCTGGTGTGGAGAAAGTTGGACTGCTTTGTGATTTTCCTGAACAAGGAGCTGCGCTTCTTACTGCAAGCAAAGAAAAATGTACATGAGAAAAGCAGTGGTGTCTAAACAAAGGAAGGATTATTCTTGTCAGCTGTGACTCACTCCTGTCCGTCCTTGACTCCCGTCCTCTTGCTGCGCCGCGCCATCTTGGATTTGTAGCTGGACTTGCGTGCGGGGCCCACTTTTATGGAAGTGTTCTCAAATGGAGTAGTTGTGACTGTGACTTTGTTTCCACTCTGTGGGCGACACTTTGACAGTTTTAATAAAAAGGTTCTTTTCTTGACTGGTATCAGATCTTTATGGTGACTATCAGCTCCTGATTTCTATCGTTGACCCAATTTTTTACTACTTTACATCGATGGGTTAGGATTTGGAGAAGGCTTATGACCGTGTCCCCAGGGGCACCCTGTGGGGGACGCTCCAGGAGTATGGGGTGGGTGGCTTTCTGTTAAGGGCCATTCAGTCCCTTTACCAGAGGAGCGTGAGTTTGGTCCGCATAGCCGGTAGTAAGTCGGACCTGTTCCCAGTGAGGGTTGGACTCCGCCAGGGCTGCCCTTTGTCACCGGTTCTGTTCATCACTTTTATGGACAGAATTTCTAGACGCAGCCGTGGTGTGGAGTGTGTCGAGTTTGGTGGCAGGAGAATCTCGTCTCTGCTTTTTGCGGATGATGTGGTCCTCCTAGCTTCATCCAGCTCTGACCTTCAGCTCTTGCTGGGTAGGTTTGCGGCCGAATGTGAAGCGGCTGGGATGAGGATCAGCACCTCCAAATCTGAGACCATGGTTCTCGACCGGAAAAGGGTGGCTTGCCACCTCCGGGTCGGAGGAGAGGTCCTACCTCAAGTGGAGGAGTTCAAGTATCTCGGGGTCTTGTTCACGAGTGAGGGTAGGAGGGATCGGGAGATCGACAGGCGGATTGGTTCGGCGTCTGCAGTGATGCGGACGCTGAGCCGATCTGTCGTGGGGAAGAGGGAGCTGAGCCAGAAAGCCAGGCTCTCGATTTACCGGTCGATCTACGTCCCAATCCTCACCTATGGTCATGAGCTTTGGGTAATGACCGAAAGAACGAGATCGCGGATACAAGCGGCCGAAATGAGTTTCCTCCGTAGGGTGGCCGGGCTCAGCCTTAGAGATAGGGTGAGGAGCTCGGACATTCGGGAGGGACTCGGAGTAGAACCGCTGCTCCTCCGGATCGAAAGGAGCCAGTTGAGGTGGTTTGGGCATCTGGTCAGGATGCCTCCTGGACGCCTCCCCGGGGAGGTGTTTCGGGCATGTCCTGCCGGCAGAAGGCCCCCGGGTCGACCCAGGACACGTTGGAGAGGTTACATCTCCAATCTGGTCCGGGAACGCCTTGGGATCCTGCCGGAGGAGCTGGTGGACAAGGCCGGGGAGAGGACGGCCTGGAGCTCCCTAGTTGGGATGCTGCCCCCGCGACCCGGACCCGGATAAGCGGAGGAAGACGAGACGGGTTAGGAACTCTTCTGGGCCAGAGGAGTAAACATCAGCAGCTGGAGGCGTGCCCAAGGAGACCAGCAACCAATCATAATAGCTCAGTGAGCTAAACTCTTATGTTGATTGATTAAAAGCAACACAAAGAGTTTTTAACAATTCAATATATTATTTCAAACTGGTTTCATGGGTTCTTCAGCCATAAAGTTGGATAACTTCACAATAAACAGAACTCTGGAGCCCTCTGCTGACCAGAAACTGAACTTAATATTGTGGTTCCAGTACGAACACTAGCATGAGGACTATCTGTTTTACAGATGTTAGCTAATGTAAAGGCTAGAAGCTAGCTTTTTTAACTCGACGACTTGTCAACAAAAAGCACAAGAAGAAGAAGAAAAATTATTTTTCTAATTTGTTGGCATCACGGCGAAGCCTGGATGTAAAAGTAAGAGAGCAATGTCTTTGGAGATGAAGCAAAGAGCTAAAACCAGAGGGAACATCGGCGTGGCCTATGCTAGCTTGAGGGAGCTAAAAGGCTACAAAATCACGAACTGATGGTGACCTGGCTTTGTTGCTACTGAACGTTTTTAGTCCAACAGTGTGGAACTTTTTACTTTGTGGTTTATTTTAGTATTAGTTAGCTCATGTTAGTGTTAGCTCATTTTTAGCATTGGCTAGGCCTGAACGATGAATTGCAAATGCAATTACGTTGCGATGTGACAAAAGTAGATTTTCTAACCGCAAAGGCTGCGATTTGACTGGCAGCGAGTGGTTAGCACAATGCTAATATACACAGAAAAACCTATAGGGATGTTAATGCTAATATCGCCGATTACGTTCGTACAAATTACGAATTAGGAACGTGCCAAATGATTACTTTTTGAGTCTAATAAAATATAAACACTGCCATAAATCAAATAAGCACAGACAGGTATTTTAGTAAAGCTAGAAAACTGTAAGAGACTTTAAAGAGCAAGTCCTCCCAAATCAACTTTTTTTCTTCTGATAAACTATATAAATGTGTGTCTAATCGTGCTGCAGACACGTGTAGTCAATAGTTTTGCACTTTAGTGCATTTTCGTTAACATTTTAATTTTCTGTCTAAAACTGTCAGTGTTGTGCCGTTGTCAGGTAAAAACTCTGCACTGCATTTGAATTTTAATCTGCCATCACTATTGGCTAAGAGGTGCCCTAGAACATTAGCTGGTACCATATGATGTCACAATGTCGTTGTGAGCCTGTGTGTGTGTGTGTGTATTTGTTAGTGGCTCCGCCCTCTCAGTCTGCTAGGCAACAGCATTTGTTGCATTTTTCAAACAGAAAGTAAGAGTGAAGTAATACTCTGGTAGGGGCTGACTTGCTCTTTAACTCCACCAAGTTTTGGCTCGCAGCTGTGAACGTAACTGAACTACGGAAGCTCTGCATGGACAAGACGTCAAAAACTCCAAACACAAAAGACTTCAACAAACGGGGCACACTTGTTTCCTGCTAATAAATATTCACAGTTGATGCTAATACCTATGCTCCTTCAAGGGATGTGCTCCTGGCTGCAAAGGATTGCACCTCCAAACACAAAATTTTGTCTTTACTTGTGAGTGTTTATGTAGACAAATAAACTTGTTGATATGATATGTAGATAAATATGTAGATACATCAATTTGTTTATATTCAGTACAAGTTACATAGACTTTTTTTTGCTTCCGTTTGTTGAAAAATATGAGAAAAGCCCCTTGAGAAAATAATCGTGAAGTAAATCGCAATTCCAATACTGAAGAAAAAAATCGCAATTAGATTATTTTCCAAAATGGTTCAGCCCTAGCGTTAGCTACAGCAGGCTGCAGCAGAGCTGTTTACGACAGTTGTAATTCCACTTCCAACCAGTAGGGCGGAGGAGCTGGAAGCTTATTAAATGTTGCTTTAAGACAGGGATTCCCAAAGTGTGGTGCGCGCACCCCCGGGGGTGCGCGAGCTGCCGCTAGGGGGTGCGCGAGATGAAAAGTGCAATGGCTGTGGAGCTCAGAGAAGTCTCATATGTCACCATTAGCGTTGCCAGAAAACTCATTTGTGGGTGGGCCAAAGAAAAAGTAAGAGGGCACAATAAATGTAATTGAAAACAAGTATATTTTTGCGCGCGTGTGTCCTCCGCATGTGCCCTAGCTTCATAATAACAATGCGCCGAGCTTCAGCGCTCTGGCCTGCGCACGCCGATATGTTCCGTATTTGATCATTTTTAACGGTGTTGGAGAAATCTGAAGGTGGTGAGTCATTCTGGCAGATTGTAATTAACACCTGTCTCATGCAGGTGTTCTGACGTTGTAAACCTCACACGCGCTGAAGATCTGAAGTTCAGAGTGCGTCTGTCAGAGGTCAGACGCGTTCCAGCGGAACCATGGCTCACGGGTGCACAAGTGAGCACATCTGGGCTGGGCAGAAGTAATTTTACAACATTGGTTTAAATAGCGCCGATAACGAGACGCGGTGACTTAAACGCTGCAAGTTGTGAAGCGCGTTCCATCCGCGAGCCGCATCACCAAGCGGAAAGTGAATGCGTCAAGCATAAACCAAGCTTCGTGGAGCTGTGCCGCGCGCGCGCGCACACACACACACACACACACACACACACACACACACACACACACACACACACACACACACACACAGATTCAATAAGTGCACGCTGCGCAAACTCCGGCGCGCCGTCAGACTGAAAGCAGAAATGAGCGCTTCCTCCTCTGTGATAAAAACTTTTAAGAGGTTTTATAACAACATTTTTCATTCCAGGTCAAATTAAGATATTAGCTTCTATTTTGGGATGACGTATTAAAGTCAGGTCCGCTCCAGCCAGTGACTCCGAACCTGCAGCATGTGTTATTCCAGTCCGCATGACAGCGGATCGCAGATTCAGCCACACCATAAAACAGCAATAAGTCGGTCTGAGGTAAAAGTGAACATCATGGCTATAGCTTTTCCCCTATAGACATTTGATTACGCACAAGTAGGTGATCAGCTCAGGTTTACGCAGAGCAGAAGGAAGGAGAGCGCTCTGGCCGCACAGGTTAAATGTTCCTACTTTAAGAAAACCGAATCGAATGTTTATTAATTACTATTTAAAAAATGAAAGTGATGGGGAATTTTTTTAACCCTGTCTGTTTAGCTTGACGTCTGATATATATATATATATATAGCCATGCCGTGATGTGTGTGTGTGTGTGTGTGGGGGGGGGGGGGGGGGGGGGGGGGGTGCGTCGACATGGTTGGGACATAGAAGGGGGTGCACGGCTAAATAAGTTTGGGAACCACTGCTTTAAGACAAAACACCTGAAAATTGCTCACTGACTCTCACCTCTCTGCTGCTTCTGTGAATGTGTAGGTCAGCAGTGACAGGGTTAAAGCGGATCAGAATATTCTAGTGTTAGTTTTCAGCAGAATTTATAAACACTGCTTATAAACATTGGTGGAACTTGGATCTTACCCAGCTAGAGTAACACGAGTTTGGTTGTTAGCAACAACATTTAACTAACACTGATCAGGAATCCATCATGAATGTTCACAACCAAAGACTGTTGTTTAGATGTCTGCAAGTTTCTGTTGTAAGAAATAAATAAAATAAGACCTTTTTAGACCCAGATTAGTAACAGGGTTGTGAAACATTGTTGATTGGAACATTCGTAGCTTAAACTGTGTTTCTACATCTAGAGATTCATTTTTAGCGTCTCCCACCTTGAGGATGAGCTCCACCACCTCCGTATGGACCAGGCCGTGGACTGACTCCCCATTTACATGAGTGATGAGGTCACCAGCTTTAAGGCCAGCATCATGGGCGGGGCCTCCATCCTCAACATGCTGACACAGGAACAGATGACTCAATATAACTGATGATGCAAATAACACACACATCCAGCTAAATACCAGTCTCACAGAATTCTTTACGTGACCCACTAGCGTATAATCAGGTTGGAGGCGACAACCTTTTCAGGTTCAGTGCTCTTTCTCACCCAGACCATGTGATGCACGCTGTAAACATCGCTGTCCCCTATGTAGACCCGGATCGCTCTCAGGGTGAAGCCGTACTTCTTCCCCGAGCGATGAATAGTGATTGGGGAATGCTGGACATTCACCGTTGGGCAAAAGTCTCGGCTGGGGGAGGAGTCTCGAGAGGAGGGATTGGAGGAGAGGGAGTGAGGAGACATCGGACTCGGCAGCGGGGAGACTCCGTGCTGCTCCACTGAGGAGACAGGGTTGGAGTTTAAGTTAAGCTGCAGGGATTAAAAACGTTTTTATGTTACTGTGACGTAGATCTGACCTGCTGGGATGATGACAGACAGAGCAGTGGTCGAGGCGGATTTGGTCACTTTAGTTCCAGGTCGTGAATTCCGTTTTTCTCCGTCAACGGAGAGCTGTTGGTGTCGAACCCTCCGCAGCACCAGGTCTGTGGTGGCCCCGCGGGGCCCCTGGGGGTCAGGCAGCCCCAGACTCGCACTGACCGGCAGAGGCAACGATGCATCAGCAGGTCTCAGAAGTTTCTCTGAAACAAAGGGGAGGGATGGGTCATGATCATGCCCTGATCTCCGTGTTTCCCTGTCTTCCTGCAGCAGCAGTAATCCCACCTGTGCTGCTCCCTATTTAAGCACCTGGCTCCTGCTGCTCAGTGCAAGATCGTCTGCTGCCCTGTCACAGTCCTTCGAGCGTTTGAACCTGTCTGCCTGCCTGTTTATTATTGATCTCTGCCTGCCTGCCTGTTGCCCGACCTCGGTCTGTCTGACCACAGAACCCATCTGTTGCCTCAGTTCCAGCCTGAATCGGACTACTCACCTTCATCGGCATCCCTCACCACTGAACACTGCTGCTGTTTTCAGAAGGCCACGGCACCCGGAACTGACTCCAGCTGGTCCTGATCGCTTTAACAAGCCCTTAAACTCTTTAAAACTTTCTCCGTCAAAGAAAGGAAAACCTACAAATGTCACTGAAATAATTTGAAACTGATGACAAACATCATAAATATAGTCTATTAGGATCAGGACTGACAGGAGACCACTTCAGACGAGTCCAGTGTTTGGTTCTGATCCATTCTTGGAGTTTTTGTCTGATTTTTGGCTCTTGATCCTGCTGGAGGACTCATGACCTGAGACCAAGGCCAAGCTTTCTGACTCTGAGCAGAACATTTAGCTCCAGAAGATCTGAAAGTCTTCAGATTGGACCCTGAACTTCCTGTTCAACTTCCTGGTCCAGATGCGGCAAAGCAGAACCAGAAATAGAACTGATCATCCTCCACAACAGGGTTCTTCTCTTTGCTTTGTTTCGTGTCTGTGGTCATGGAGCGGATGGGATTTAACAAATATCTGCAGTTTTGTTTCCTCTGGATAAAAAATAATAAAGTTCTTCCAGAATCTTTGTGGCTCGTTAACAAGCAGCTTGACTGACTTCAACCCATTTCTTCATGATGTACGTCCAACAGTGGTGTCCTCAGTTGTCTGTCATCAGGTCCACTTTGACTCATATCTGACACTGGTGTACCTTGGCCGTGGAGTTGACTTCTAACCTTTTTGGTAGGTCAGTTGTCTTCTTGAGTCGAACATCTAGAAAGGTTGTCTGAAGTCAAGAGGACCTTTGAACACTAGAGATGGTTTTCTAGCCTTTATCTGCTTGGAAACCATCTTCTAGTCTTAGCCAATTAGAGATGGTAAATAGCCTGCATTTGCATAGCACCTTCTTAGGGTTCTGCAACCCCCCAAGGCACTTCACAACACAATCAGTCATCCACCAATTCACACGCTGGTGGGGATGAGCTACAATGTAGCCACAGCTGCCCTGGGGCGCACTGACAGAGGGGAGACTACCGAGCACAGGCGCCACCGGTCCCTCTGACCACCACCAGCAGGCAAGGTGGGTTAAGTGTCTTGCCCAAGGATACAACAGCAGCATTCTCTGGTCAGTGCTGGGACTGAACCTGCAACCTTCTGATTACTGGACCATCCGCTCTACCTCCTATAGCCAATTGGAGATGGTCTTCTAGCCTTTAGCTGATTGGAGACGGTCTTCTAGCCTTTAGCTGATTGGAGACGGTCTTCCAGCCTTTAGCTGATTGGAGACGGTCTTCTAGCCTTTAGCTAATTGGAGACGGTCTTCTAGCCTTTAGCTGATTGGAGACGGTCTTCAAGCCTTTAGCTAATTGGAGACGGTCTTCAAGCCTTTAGCTGATTGGAGACGGTCTTCAAGCCTTTAGCTGATTGGAGACGGTCTTCTAGCCTTTAGCTAATTGGAGACGGTCTTCAAGCCTTTAGCTGATTGGAGACGGTCTTCCAGACTTTAGCTGATTGGAGATGGTCTTCTAGCCTTTAGCTGACTGGAGATGGTCTTCTAGCCTTCAGCTGATTGGAGATGGTCTTCTAGCCTTTAGCTGATTGGAGACGGTCTTCTAGCCTTTAGCTGATTGGAGACGGTCTTCTAGCCTTTAGCTGATTGGAGATGGTCTTCCAGACTTTAGCTGATTGGAGACGGTCTTCTAGCCTTTAGCTGATTGGAGATGGTCTTCTAGCCTTTAGCTGATTGGAGACGGTCTTCTAGCCTTTAGCTGATTGGAGACGGTCTTCTAGCCTTTAGCTGATTGGAGATGGTCTTCTAGCCTTTAGCTGACTGGAGATGGTCTTCTAGCCTTTAGCTGATTGGAGACGGTCTTCTAGCCTTTAGCTGATTGGAGATGGTCTTCTAGCCTTTAGCTGATTGGAGACGGTCTTCTAGCCTTTAGCTGATTGGAGACGGTCTTCTAGCCTTTAGCTGATTGGAGACGGTCTTCTAGCCTTTAGCTGATTGGAGACGGTCTTCTAGCCTTTAGCTGATTGGAGACGGTCTTCAAGCCTTTAGCTGATTGGAGACGGTCTTCTAGCCTTTAGCTGATTGGAGATGGTCTTCTAGCCTTTAGCTGATTGGAGACTGTCTTCTAGACTTTAGCTGATTGGAGACAGTCTTCAAGCCTTTAGCTGATTGGAGATGGTCTTCTAGCCTTTAGCTGATTGGAGATGGTCTTCTAGCCTTTAGCTGATTGGAGACTGTCTTCTAGACTTTAGCTGATTGGAGACAGTCTTCAAGCCTTTAGCTGATTGGAGATGGTCTTCTAGCATCAAGTTTTAACAAGCTGGTCCATGATAGTGTTTGTAATCTCCTGAGACATCTGTGTCCTCAGCTTCTGGTGGTCCGTGTTCTGTGTGGTACACACCCTGATCCTAAACAGCACCGTGACTACCTTCCAGCCGTTAAACGGGCAGCCTGACTAATTCCAGGGTTAAAGACAGCTGTGAGGACCAATGATTATGTTTGCGTATTTTATGTGAGTCGTGAACAATTTTGTTTGATGGCAACCGCATCCCTTCTCACCTGCTGTGGAGATGCCATTCCCATCTTTAAGGAAAGTTTTTTGATCTTCCATGGAAGCCCCCCTGGTCTTCACAGGAGGCTGTTTTCCAGAAACAGACAACTCGGAGTCCAGCTCAAGAGGGGAGGCGAAGCGGTATGTGTCCACCAGGGCAGAGAAGCGTCTGCGGGCCCCTGACGGCGGACTGGAGTCGCTCTCAGTGAAGGAGGACTCAGAGCAGGAAAAGCGCTTCCTGAAAAAGCAAAGCAACAAATGTAGTCAATTAGAAAACTAAAGATAAACACAATGATACTCTGCTTTGCTTTTTCCACGCACATCTCCGGAGAACCTGCCCTCCAGCTTTTATCTCTGAGGGTCACACCTCCCAGACCCTCTCTCTTGTTGACTCGGTCATCTCTGGGGACTTTGTGTTCCCGTAGCGTCACCGTGTGAGGTTTGTGCTCCAGCTGAGACAAATGTTCCATACTGCTGTACACCTACAGGTCCACACCACATTTCAGTTGGTCTTACTGAACAAAAACATTACAAGAGTAGTGAATATTAGCGTCAGGTTCGAACCTTGCTGAAGCGAGGGGAGCAGGATGAGAAGCGATGGATCTCCGCAGGTTCGTCGTCGTTGGTGTCGTCTTCATCGTACGACTGCACATGATGGTAGCGCTCAGAACGAGCTGGTGGAGAGGAGGGAATATTAAATAAGTTATGACTAAAGGCATAAGCAAACGATCAACTAAAGGCCCAGGACTAAACATCACCTACCGCCTTTCATCCCTAAGTTTGAAACCAAGGTCAGAGATGATGTAGCCATTGCAACACACTATGCAACATTTCAACTGTTTCCACCAGCAGATGCAGAAACAAGCAAAGACGATACCGATGAACAGCAGACCTCCAGCCTTGAACTGCTCACCCTCCTTTCTTCAGACACAAGACTGAGCAGCCTTCTTCGCTTCATGAACTCTGACCTTCAGCTGTTTGTTGCACTTTGCTACAATAGAAGGATCTTTTGTGAAGTCATGGTTTAGGTTTCTCGCATTGCATCACAAGATTGTGTCGCAAGAAACAGCGTATTTAGCCTACAATTTGCACGTTTGGAGAAAGATTTAGCGAAGCAGATGGATCGTTCTTGTTGTGTGGCGGATTGTTCGGTCCGTGGGAGGCTTGATAAAAACGTTTTAGTGGAATTTCCTCCATAAAGGACCGCAAAATACAAAAGAGATGATGGTGGGCGACCCGTACTCCTCGAAGAAAGCCTGGATTCCTGCAGAAACTGACAGTTTGTGAGGCTCATTTTGTTCGTGGCAAGTCCTTGTGACTAAGTATTTGTTCATTAGAGAAGATGCTTTTAAAAAAACATTCATCGTTGTTTATTTTAAACCCACAGTAACATCTGATTCAGTTGTCTCAACCGGCGGTCATCATAATAATAAATAAAGAATTATATAAGGACTCTGATTAAAGAAGACTAACCCGGCTTTGCCATTTTCTTTGGCCTTCGCCCGTCACTGCTTGGTCCAACTTTCCTTGAAACAAAATAATCGTAGGCCTCCGGACATTTGAAAGCCTTTATTTTTTTCATGAGTGAAGGATCCGGGGCTTTCTGTTAGGTAGGAATAAATGTCTCTCAAGCGGATTTGTGGAGAAAACACAGGCGAATCTGACCAACGTTATCCGTTGTTGGCTTTTAAGAGCAAGTCACCCCCAACCAAAGTCTTACTCCACTCCTACTTCCTGTTTGAAAAATGCAACAAATGATGTTGCTTGCTAGAACGAGAGGTCGGAGCCACTTACAAATACACACAGGCTCATAACGACATTGTGACATCATAATGTACCAGCTAACATCACAGTGTACCCCTTAGCCAATAGTGATGGCAGATTTAAATTCAAATGCACTGCAGAGTTTTTACCTGAAGATGGTGCAACACTGACACTTTTAGGCAGAATATTTAACTAATCTAACTAAGATGCACTTAAGTGCCAAATTATGGGCTACAGTGTTTCCCTTACATAGGCGTAAGCGAGCGCCACGCCTACATGATCCCAAGTTTTATTGATTTTATTTATTTTTTTGTGCTGTTTCCCGAAGAAGCAGCGGGAACTACTCTGTTGTTGCTTGTGATCACAGCCGGCAGGCACCAAGGAGGAGGAGGCAGGGCAGGGTGGTTACAGCTAGGGATGAGCCGGATCCTCGTTTCAGACGCGTATCCAGTACGGATAAAGCATTTTTGACAAATACCAGCATGAAACGAGTAAAAATCGTAAATATCTGTAATCGTGCTGAAGGAAAATCCTCATTGGGTAACTTTCACGCTCTGTGATTGGCCAGTCACACAGAGCGCCCGCCCCTCCCTACACACAAAACTGCAGCCGGGAGCTCAGTCAGCTCGGCCCAGGCATCCACGCACGCACGCACGCACACAGACAGTAACGGATCTCTCTGTACTTGCTTCACTGTTGCTCGTTTCTTCAGAACTCCCAAGGTTTTCTTCAGCTCGCCTCTTTTTCGGTTGAATACTTGAAGTTCCTTTTTTCGTAACGTACGTGTTGCATTTGACAAGACAGAGCTGAAAACGGCTCGTGCATGTGTCTAAATGACTGCTTATTACAAGTTTATAACTCCATAAACGAACAAGTAATTACCTATTTAGTAAAAATCAAACCAAAATATTTCTAATAACTGCCCGTCCCACCACATCCTTCTATCTGTGGGCATGGCGGCTGTTGTAGGAAAGATGGAGGTGCTGATCCTGAATCAGGCCTTTTCTGGCGCATTCGTCGGGGTAAAACTTACTGTCAAAATAACTGGTGTCTTCCTCCGACTCCAGGTGAGGAATGAACTCTGCTTTCTGTCGCAGCAGGCTGTTCCAGTCCACCGCTGTGAAGAACGAGTGCTGCTTGACTTCAAAAGCACCACCTGGAGGGGCGGAGGGCAGAAAGGAGGTGGGTGCGTGCATAAACAAGCAGCAGGTGGAGCAGAAGGGAGGTGAAGCCTGCTGACCTACTGTGACCCTGAATGAAGTTGACTGATTGGGGTGAACTTAACCCCCGAGCAGAAATACACAACAGCTATTCTCCTGGGTCAGCGACTAACATTCAGGGGTGGGTGACCATTGGAGGAACTTCCTATGGAGGAGCAGGAAGGTGAAAAATAGCACTGGAAGTGTCCTCTAATGCAAGCTTCCCTGCAAACAGTCAGCGTCACATGATCATGCCTATAACGGTCCAGACTACTTCTGTAGAACGTCCAGACTAGGTCCTTGCAGTTCTGCAGTGAAAATGTTGCATAATTCTAATTATTTGCAGAATATTACATTGAGTAGTTAATTTAGACGATGAGTACCAGGAAAAAACTCTTTATTTGATAACATTAGACGGATAATGGTGGTCCTTAAGGTGCATGCAGAACTTTTACAGCCCTCACTGTTTACTACGGGTAGGACCCTGGTTATTTTCCTGCAGAATTAAACAATGTATTATTTTCCTAAAGTTTAAGATGGATTATTATTCTGTTAATTATGGATGGTGTCATTTAAGTTATTTAGAAATCATGTAAACCCAGACGCTTTACCTGATTTCTACAGCAGCGGCTCATGATTAAACATAAAACCACAGAGTAAAATTCAAAAATACTTTATTAATCCCAGAGGGAAATTAGAGTTTCAGTAAACACAATTCTGAGATCAGACATACATACATAGACGCATGACAAGAATTGGTGACTGTGGTCATTCGCAACCCGAGTCGCGCTACCGTAATAGATCGAGAGGGTTTATATGAGGATAGAGTCAGAGGGAGGGAGAAAAAGGCGCTTCAGAGTTAACCTCCACAGGGAGGGCAGCTCTGCTATGCAAAAAAACACCTCAGACAGAAATCCAACAGACTTCAGACATTACACAACATAAGTGTCCACTAGGTGGGGAGGTAGGGTTGGGACTCTCCTCACTTCAGTGCGTGCAGCCGCATGGGGCAGCGCTCCGTTTGGACAGGGGAGGGAGATAACGGGTTAACCCTTTAGTGTCCACATCAAGAAAAAAAGGCTATATGAAATGTTATTTTTAGCATTTTTTTTTATTTGAGCAAATAAAAGCAAGATTTAGATAATCATGTTAAGTTTATAATTATGTGAGACAACTAGGGATGGGTACTTTTGACATTTGAATCGATTCGGTACTAATTCCCGGTACCTACGAATCGATACCGGTACTTAACGGTACCAATTTTCGATACTTTTGAGTGTTTAATATTTTAATACTCTTTTATAACTAAATATATATTTTTCTCAATATATAACCATATTTGATAAATATCACGATAAATAACATACAACTGTTTGCATTGTAACATCGTCCTTGTAGTTTTATAAGCTGATCATTAAACTGAAGCAAACATCTTTACTGTGAACTAAATTTACTGTGTATCTTCATTCCTTTTACCGTCCTTTCTCATTTGATTTTTCCTACTGGGAAGTTAGAATTTCCGAGGAGAAAGCGAACGCACCATTAGATGATAACGGTGGCAATGGAAGCTAACATATCAAGCTAACGATATCTTAAACAGTTTAACTGCAGGAGCAGATTAAAACGATGATGCCTCACACTTAGATCGTTGTCGCTGGTTTCATCTTCACCCAATCACCCGTCGCATTTAGTAAAGTGAAGCCAAACTTTAGAGCGCGTTCATGTTCTTCTAGTCGGAAATTCGGAGTTCCGAGGAGAAAGCGAACGCACCATTAGCGAAACGGAAGCTAACATATCAAGCTAACGTTATCTTAAACATTTTATTTACCTACCGGAGCAGATTAAGATGAGGATGTGTCACTTAGATCGTTGTTGCTGGTTTCATCATCACCCAGTTACCCATCACATTTAGTGAAGTTGACCCAAGCTTTAGCGTGCGTTCTTTCTACCGTGCTGCTCTGTTTACAACTCGCTCGCAGCGACCGACGACTTAACGCTCTTGCACATGCGCAGCTGTCTAGGCAAGTTCTCGTTGTGAAGGACGGGTACCGAAACGAGGCACCGTTTCAAATGAAGTGAATCAGTGCTCGGTCGGTACTGTGGAATTCGGTCGGTACCTTAAAAAGTACCGAATTCGGTACCCATCGCTAGAGACAACACTGATTAACCTTTATTTTACTTCTGCTAGTTTGAGGGAGCTAAAGGAGGCTACAAAATCATGGACTGATGGTGACCTGGCTTTGTTGCAGCTGGACTTGTAATATTTTTGGTTGTACAGTGTGGAACTTTTTACCTCGTGGCTTATTTAGTCGGCTCATGTTAGTGCTAGCTACAGCCAGCTGCTGCAGGTTTGGATACGACAGTTGTAATTCCACTTCATAATATACATATACAGTATATATGCATGCTCCAGATTACTGACCTGTGCCCAGTCGCACCAGTGGGTTTGTCTGCAGCAGGGAGGAGATCAGATGCTGGGCATCAACAGGAAGAGCATCATCACCTTCAGGCCACACTATGTCATCTACAGCAGGGTGACGTGTAAAGCATGAGGAAGCATGGTTTAGGTTTGCATCCACTCTTCTTCAGTTGAGGTAAAAGCCTGGTGTTCCTCACCTGTAATGACCTGTCCAAAGAGCTCCTCTGGAGTGTCTCCGAAGAATGGAACACAACCCACAAGAAACTCGTACAGGATGATGCCCATAGCCCACCAGTCCACCGGCTTCCCATAGCCCTGACGGAGAATCACCTCTGGGGCAATATACTCTGGAGTCCCACACACCTAAAGGAGCAACAAAAGGACCTGATTTCATGTCTTTCCTGCTTCTCTCTCAGAGATGCCAGGACTAAAGCCCTGCTGTGTGTTTTCATGTGCAAATGGGCCACACGGCCCTGAATGCTAACAGATTTCTGGCCGCCGTGACACGCGCACGAGAAAAGTAATGAGGCTCAGGTTCAAAGCGTGTGTTGGTGAATGAAAGGCTGGTGAGTCCAAGCCGTGCTTTCACACAGATACCCTCTGATTGTAATAGTTGGGGGAGATAGTGGTTTATTGTTCTGCCAACCGCTAACGGCCTCGTTTTATCAGGCTTCAGATACGCCTGCTGCACAATGAAAGGGAATATCTTTTCACGGAAACAAAAAGACATCAAAGGGCGTTTTATACTCAAACTTCCATCGGATCAGACTGAATCGGAACAGTCTACATGCTTTTGATGCCAGAAAGAACTGAGTCTACACCGGGTTCTTATTTAAAGGGGACACAGTATACCTTCTTAAACAAGTTATAATAGTTCTATGGTCCATACAAACATGATTGCGACGTTTCGTTGTACAAAATCCCTCTCACATAAACTGATCTGCACAGTTTTATTGTTGACATTTTAAGTACCTTCCAGAATGAGCAGGTTTAGGACTCAGAAAACATGCTGGCCACGCCCACCCGTGCACTGATTGGCTGCTGTTAGTTGAGGAGCTCCGATATCTCGGAGTAGAGCTGCTCCTTCAGCATTGACAGATAAGGGAGGGGTTAGGCAAATTTTCCTTATTGTGACATCACAATAAGGGCCTTTTTGAAACCACTGACAGAAAAGGGATGGACGGGGTTTTCACATTTGGAGTGTTTATAAAGGGAGCAGAGATCCACATGGCAGCACAAAAGGTGAGTTCTGCTTAAAACGTCCCATTAAATGTTTCCAATTTAAATGAACTTCTGGAACATGAAGGAGATTTGATGGTCTCATAGTTATGAAAATGAACAAATAAATAAATAAAAAAAATGTGTTTGATGGTGATGAGGAAAAGCTTGATAAAGCTGTGTCATCCCTTTCCCTGTGCTGAAGTCAGACATGCTCTCACCGATGCGTGTGTGTAAACAACTCCAAGCTGCTCTTGATGAACACAACATCAACGAAGGTTTCCTGTCAGGTTTCTGCAGAGCTCGTTCTACTGAAACAGCTCTTCTAAAGCTTGGTTTATGCTTGACGCATTCACTTTCCGCTTGGTGACGAGGCTCGCGGATGGAACGCGCTTCACAAATCGCAGCGTTTATGGTTCATGCGGCTCGTCTCTGCGGTGAGCCAATATTCTCCCAAACTGTAGGGGGCAGCATGGAGCTCTACGGCATGCATCCAACACTACACCATAGTAGAAGTAGAAATTACTGTTTACAACATGGCATTTCAGCAGTTTTTAACAGCGTCCTCGTCTTTTCCGACAGTGCGAGCTATTTCTCTCCAAGAATTATTAACAACATGTTGATCACGGTGATCTCTGAGAGCTGAATCATACAAATGTCTGTGTTTACGAACCTCTGCCATAGTAGTTCTTGCCGGTCCGCCATGTTTTTCCGCGTCCGACCGTCCGCGTGGTTAGAAAATTTGCGGAAATTTTGGGCCGTGCGGAGGCGCGGTGGAGGGGCGTGGTTGTTAAAATGATGCAACTTTTCCGCGCGGACCTCGCGGACGCGTCAAGCATAAACCAACCTTTAGGGTCTCTAACGACCTTTTGGCTCTGTTACTTTAAATGGCAAAAAAAAAAACAAAAGAGGATAATAAGATCATTAAAAACAAACGAATAAAGATGATTAAAAACAGTAGAAGTGTTTGTATTTCTTTTTCACACGGATGCGTTTAAATGTTTGTGCTCTGATCTTATGAACCCGTGGTATTTCCGATCATCAGCGTCTCACAGCGACCCATGCCTCCTTCTCTTTCTGATCCGGTTTAGTCTCACCTGTTTATCCAAAAACTCCCGTGTGTCCTTCTCTATGTGTCCTTCATACAGGTTGGTGGTCAGACTCATTAGACCAATTTTAGACAGACCAAAGTCAGTCAGCTTGATGTGTCCCATTGAGGTTATCAGGAGGCTGAGGACAAAACCAACAGAGTACAGAGGTGAGACATTAGAGCTTTCTGACCTGATACCGAGGTTGCATCAGTACAAAGACAATTAACTCCGCCATACTTGTCGGGTTTGAGGTCACGGTGCACAATGCCGTAGTTGTGTAGGTACTCCAGTGCAAGAACCGTCTCTGCAAAGTACATGCGTGCCATCTCCACCGGCAGGGCGCCGATGTTCTTCAGCAGCGTGGCACAGTCACCACCTGCACAAACAAGTCATTGTCTGACCAGACTGGCATTCACAATGAACCCAAACATCTCCCAGTGCCGGTTTTAGTCTCTGTTTAGTCACATCAGAAGGAGAGAGCGCAAAATGAGCGAAAGGAAAATCGAATGAATTCGGATCCTGTGCTTTGAGTCATTCTAGGCAAAACACTAAAGAACACGGGGGGTGAAGACCGGGGGTCTCGTTTAGAAAACATGGCGTAGAATGCTTACTGAAACCGTTCTTAAGCTCAGCAAAAAAATGTACTTGCGCCAAACGGGTTTGCGATCCATCAAACATGGCGTACGCACAGCTTCACAAAACCCTTATAAATCACACTACCTAGTAGGGATGTAAGAAAATATCGATATGGCAAAATATCGTGATATTTTCCTGCGATTATTACATCGAGATTCAAAGGCCGTGTATCTAATTCTTGAAAGAATTTTCATGCAAACATTTGTGTATTTTCTTTTTATTTTGTGCAATTTAATCGCCACCCACTAGTTGGCAGCAGTGTGCAACGGGTTTTGTTTCCACCAATGAAATGTAAATCCCTCCATCATGGTTCAGATACCTCATGTTAAACACGTTACGTATCAGTTTGGACTGTTTATTGAACATTCTTACAATAAATTCAGTAAAAAAGAATTGCTTGTAACGTCTGAATGAATGTATCGCAATATATCGTATTGTCTCCCCTGTATAGTGATATGTATCGTATCGCCAGAATTTCAAAAATACACATCCCTGCTACCTAGAAATGTGCTCAGGTGTTTCTGGATCGCATCCCGCCCTCACCACGCCCACTTTCTGCCATAAATGGTCAACGCAAAGTGCCTTGTGGATCTCATGCATACACATAAGCCGGCTCGTTGCGGCGCTCCGCCATTAACGATGGCGACCGCAGATCAAGGAAGCACTAAAGCACTATTTCACAAGCGGGAGTTCTGCAAAACAAATAAGAAAAAATCCACCAAGTGGCACAGAGTTGCTGTGAGTTCTTCAGAGAGATCTGTTGTTCTGTGTGAAAACGAAGCGGTACAAGTGATAACGCTGCTGGGATTCATCATTTATCCATGTCCAAATGTGTGTACGTAAGGCCCTTAGTCAACAAAGTTGCGCACATTTTTCCGCTAAGTTTCCTTTTATAAATCCCAAAGTTTGCGTGGAAAGTTGCTTACGCAGTTTTCCGTTTTGTGCGTAAGCAAGCTTTATAAATGAGGCCCCTGGCATTTTTTATTTTTTATTTATTAGCATTCAAATATCTCAATGAATACAGAATAAAGATTACCACTAAGCAAGAAACACGAAACAAGGCTAATCAAAAGGTATTGGCCGAAGCATTTGCTCATTACGCCAACCTTTTTGGAGCTGCATGCTGAGAATAAAACAAAACAAAAACAAACAAACAAACAAACAAAACAAAATACTTTACACCTTAGATAAGTAACCACATCAAAGCAAAACAATCAAGAGTTTCAATATTATTATTTTTGCTCTTTTCATTCTTGGTTTATATATTTTTCTATTTCTATTTTTAAACATATTTTTAAACAAGGAAAATCTTTTAAAATCACTGTAATAGCTATTCCACAGGTTAACTCCTCTAACAGAAACACATGTCTGCTTTACATCTGTCCTTATCTTATTTTTGTTAAAGAATTCTGTTCCCCTATTTAGGCCATAATCACCCATCGTATCCACTAGGATGGAGTAGAGCACATATGTCAGACTCAAGATGCGGCCCGTGGAGCATTTTTATGTGGCCCGCGAGATAATTATCAAAAATATATTAAAACTGACCCGCTGGCCGATTTTAGACTTCAACTCCCATGATGCTTTGCGGCGTCAGCGCGGAGCCGACGCACCCCCTCCTTTGTGTTTTTTCCAGCGTCTGCTGCCGGTGTCTGCAGCTCCGCTGTCTTGGACAAACTAAACACTTCTCCCACTCAGCGCCGAGTTTCCTCAGCTGTTTTCTGACGTTGAAGCCCAGAAACGGAGATTCTAGCTGCTCAGTAACGTGTTCACGACTGAAAGAGAAAGTTTTCCAGCTAACTTCCAGACAGAGCTGATATAACTCCAGCGAGCAGCGACACGCTCAAACCAGCATGACTCTGTGGCTGCTGTAGTTGTTATTTTTCCTCCCCGACACACAACGACGTGGTCAAGCTGCTCAGACATGTTCAGCAGCACAAACCTATGTGAGCACCTGTTGTCATCTAATGTTGTCATTATTATGATGAAGATGAACAAAACAACAGGAGTCTCCTCCTCAGCTCAGATCAACCCCATGATGCAGGTATCTGGCTGGAACAGGTGAGCATCACAGTAAACCAGTGGAGCAAACTGAGCTTTAAATATGTTGGTTTTATGCTCTTTTTCTGCTCCAAAACATGAAAGTTAACAGGTGAGATGTTGCATTTTCATTTAAGATAAAATGATATTTTTATTTTGTTGTTGGCCCGTGAGAAAAGATTTAACCTACAGTAAACAGGAAGTGGAAAGGCTGCAGATAGATGAATAGAATAGAAAATCCCTTTATTGTTCCTCAGTGGGGAAAGCTAGACGTCACAGCAGCGATGACACGTATTACAGGAGAAAAAAAGGAGAATAAAAAATAAGAAAAATGAATAAACAAGAAAACATAAATCCTGAACAGATTTTAAAAATGCTGAATATACCACAAGTAATGAATACCACTGATGCCTTTTATTTAAAACTGACTTGCTCGTGTGTCATCTGGTTATTCCACATTCAGTGTTAATGCAGAAATATGTTTGTTTCCACATTAAAAGGTTCAAAATTGCATAAATGTTGATAAAGAAAATGTGAAAATTTGCCGTCACTTTTTCAAAAATATTAAGTTTGGCCCTCGACTCCGTCCCAGAGTTTCATTTCGGCCCCGTGTGAGTTTGAGTTGGACTCCCCTGGAGTAGAGGTTACTTTTAACACAGACCAGCAGTAAGGTACTGGTGCTGTTAGATTTATGTTATGGTGTTAATCTGCCAGAAACTCCTCCAGAATAAAAGCTTCACATATGACGCTTTCATTTACTTTGGAAATTGGAAATTTCTAGAATTTGATGACAGGTGACATTTTCCAGCTTCAGGTTTCACATGGAGTGATTTAGCTACACATCTTTAGCTTCAGTTTGTAGCGTGGATCTGGGGGGTTGCTGTGACAGTTTTAGATCCATCCTTGTTTGTAACTCGCTTTTCCACGCAGGGCCGCGGGGGGCTGGGGCCTATCTCCAGCTGTTATCGGGCAAACAGGCGGGGGACTGGTTGCCAGTCCATCGCAGGGCAACATAAAGACAGGCAGGACAGACAACCGTTCACGCACACCCACACCCAAGGACAATTTAGAGAAACCAAACAACCTGTCATGTTTTTGGACTGTGGGAGGGAGCCGGAGTACCCGGAGAGACCCCAGGCCTGGAAGTGAACCCGGGACCCAAATAACGAATGAGACCTGGGTGAGTTAAGCATCTTTTGCAGATCTAAAAGATCCTCAAAGCTCCTGCAGAGTCCTTTTGTCTCTTGTGTGCTCCCGTCGTCCACAGTAGATGAAAAAGTCCCGTGTTTCACATTTAATAGGAAAAAAAAAACCAGATTTGGTTTAAAGGGACATTATGGAAGTGTGACAGCCAAAACATGTATAGAAATAATAAATGTCTTCTTCATACGTTCTCCTGCAATGCCCTGGTCCTGTAGAATGAGCCCTGGCATTTTTACTGTGATTGCCTGTTTTTCTGTAAAATCACAGAAAAAGAGAGATGCTCGGGTCGAGCAGGCTGCTTCATGCGCGTTCACGCTCAGGCATCGCCCGTAGCATTTGCTATCCGTAGCTTTAGCAGCAGAGAGAGAGGCAGTGCCACTTTGTCGCTGTTCCTAAAGCCTAGTGACAAAGCTAGCTACATTTCTGAGGACCCTTAGCTACTTTCTGTAGAACTTTCTTCTAGATATTTCCTGCTAATTAGCAACAAAACAGCCATTTTCACTCTGAACCGTTCTCTGGATTGACGTTGTTTCAGCTGTCATCAAGGATATAAATGTTACAGATACAAACAACGTCACTGGTGCTTTAGCTCATCTAGTAAAACATTGGACTCTCATGCAGAAGACCTGGGTTTGATTCTAGATGTGAACATAGTTCATTTAGAGTTTATTTTTTACATTAATGGTATATTTTTTTACAGTAAGATGCCCAAAGTTTTATTTGAGACTCGCCGAACGGCATTGAATTCTCAGATAAAAAGATGTGGGTTCAACTTTCATTTTGGGACAATTTTTCAAGCAAGGGAAGGGAATGATCTGAGCATGCAGGAGGACTGACCCATCATAAACCTTTGTCGGCTGTGCTGAAGAGAAAGATACAGAACCACATTATTTAATTAATTAGCTGCGTGTTCTCCTGTCCTCTGTCCTCCCCCCCCCCCCCCCCCCCCCACACACACACGGGACTGTCTCAGCCTGGGACGTAATTTTGGGGGGGGACGGGTGGGACATGTCCCCCCCACTTTTTCAAAAGGCAGTTTCGGTCCCCTGCACTTTTTTCCGTCCAAAAACAATGTTACGCTCCATTAAATGGATTTGGTTGAGCACTAGGACCGAAACGGAAACCGGTTTCCTATTAGACCCACCCAAAAGCTAATCTATTGGCTCTGCTGATACTTGCTAACGTATTATTGGCTGTTGCTGCTGTCACTCAAGTTGTAAACAGTCAGAACGTGCTCACGTTGTTTTGCTAGTTTGGAGCCGCTAGGGAACACCGGTACTGAGTCACATCGTCAACTAGACGCTGTGTAATATCAGAGCTCAGCTCAGCTTCCATTACATAACATTTGAATAAGTGTTCATTTGTGAGTCTTTGGTAGTTATGCACAGCCAGGCGGCAGCATGTCAAGAAACGAAAGTGGATATAAGAGACTTCTTTCAAAGTCAAAACGTAAGTTGGAACATGTGACACCGCTGCATTAAGCTCAGACTCACCTCCTCCTTCACAAACATACTCAAAACTAACTTTTACAAACTCATCTCCTCCACATAACTGACTCCTCAGACACAATTTATTCGTATTATTATAATTATTATTATTTATTATTATTATTACTATTATCATGATTATTATTACTAGTAGTAGTGGAAGTGAAACTTCAAAACTTTTATCATTTAACTTTATTGTAAACTTATCTATTGCAATGTATATGTTCACATTAAAAAGCTCTGAAAAATGAACAGTATCATCGTCAACAGATTTTTTTAAGCTTAATGTCAAAGATGTACTCTTTTCATTAGATTTATCTTATTTTTTCCATTTATTTTTTGTGTGTTGAAATGCAACAACTGTTTAAACACGTTTAAGGGAAAAAACATATTTAATATGTTTTTATACACTCAAATTGGTAATGAATAATTTACACATTATATTAATAATAATTGTGAATCATACTAGAACCATCCTGTAAATATTTCTGTTTGTTCCATTCCAAAATCTCCCACTGTTTATAGTTCATGCATCTTTTTTTCAGGTGACTGACAGAGATGCAGGAGGAGAGACCGGTGAAGGTACAGCAGGAGAGGCTGTAGGAGATGGAGGACGAGAGCCTGGAGGAGATGGAGCAGAGGCTGGAGGCTCACAGGTGAGGTTGAAATAATGAAGATACGATAGACATAAAATTGATCATTGTGACAAATGTTAGGGTGATGATCATGTGTAAAACATTAGTTCAGCATGTTCTCTAACACAGCAAATGAAATAACGGCCAGATCTCAGGAGGGACCGTTTATGTATAAATACTTTTTATACTTTTGACTAGGCCTGGGAAAGTAACACATTTTGCTGGATGATATTTTGTCCAACAAATTGTTGATGATAAACGATATCATTGTCAACATTATCTAGACCAAAATAACCACTAATATAATGTTAATATATCATAATAATGCAAGTACACCCTTTAAAATGCAACAAATAAACCTTCATTTAACATTGAAATGTCCAGAACCAGAACTTCTAAATGAATAAAAATAACAAACAAAAATTAAATAAAAAAAAGAATCTCACTCCCTGTTAGAAAATGTTGCACCAAAAACAATAAAAAAGACCCAAAACAATAAATACAATGGCCTATCCATTGTCAACAGCCAAAACTGCACTTCAATAATGATAATAAATATTAATGATAATAGAGTTGTACATTTTTTAACTTTGATATATATATATATATATATATATATATATATTGAGGATGGAAAAATTATTGAGATGGGCATGTGACGTGCCAAAGGGTCTTTACATAACACCCCCACCCCAAATCCGCACAAGCCTGCTGTGTCCCCCCCACTTCTGAAATCAAAATTTCGTCCCTGGTCTCAGCTGTTATTTTCGTTAAGGAGTGTGCACGTACAACATGCGCGCCTCGTGCACGAGCCTACTATCGAAGCTGCCGTTACGCTTTTGGCCTGAGGGGGCGATCGCGAGCATAAAAATTCAAAATCCCGTAAAGTCCCTTTAAGAAGAAAATGTCATTTATTGATTCAGACATGATTCTTCTTAGTGAGGTGCTGTTTTTTCTGCAGTCTTGGTTTTTCTCTGTCAGTTTAGTTCCTGATCACTTTTTAGATCATGAATCGAGAAAAATAACCAGATAAAAAACGAGTAGAAAACTCAGACGTCGTGGGCGTGTTTGTGCGATAGCAGATAGTGTAAATAAAACCAATGCAGATGCAGCAGATTCCAGGGGTGTCTGCAGCATCTGCTCCTACTTGAACTGGTTCTGTTTGTGCTGAAAATGAGTGATGAACTGGGAAAAGGCTGTCAGGGATTAAACGCTGTTCAACAAAAACATTCATTCTAGATTTCTGCTCCAGGGATCTCGGTCTGTCTCAGGGCTCATGGACTCTGAATATTGTTTATCGTCCTTCTGCGCTTCCTCACCTTCCACGTACTCCATGACCATGCAGAGGTGCCGCCGGGTCTCAAAGGAGCAGAACATGGAGACGACAAATGGATTCTCCGCAAACGTGAGGATGTCTCTTTCCACAAAGGCCTGCTGGATCTGGTTCCTCAGGATCAGGTTTTGCTTGTTGATTTTCTTCATGGCAAACCGCTGGTGCGTCTCCAGGTGACGAACCAAGTAAACAGCACTGGTTCACATGCAAACGGGTGGAATGAAAGGACATCTTCATGCGTCTGCAGATTAAAGGAATACATGAAGTCCCGCAGCATGCCCCTTACCCATATGCACCATTACTGATCAGCTTGATGGTCTGGAAGTCTGCTTCTCCTGGTGGCTTCATGGATCTAATCTTACCCTGTGGATTACAGAGCAGAGCATCATAATCTGGCATGAGCACAATACAGCGTAACAAAACAGGAGAAAAAGCAGAGTCTACACCAAAAAGCTTTATTTTTAGGCCACAGCAGTTCCTCCTTTTTCTTGTTTAACTCCCTCTCGTTGATTCCCCCATTGGACGCCTGCCTAATGCTAAAAGCCCCCCACCCCCTCCCCCGAGTCTCAGAGACGGGGATCAGATCCTGTTTCCTCAGCGTCAGCACGAATTAGCTAAATTAGTTGAACAAAAGTGTGTTTGCCAAGTCTGTGATGCCAAACTATCAGAGGAAATGAAAGAAGGAGTAAAATTTCCGGGGCATCGGCTTTAATTATTCTCCTCACACCAACTCCATGTTTCATTATTAAAACAGTGATTAATGTCTGTGTGAGACTACTCATCTCTCCAAGGCTTAAATATTTTAGATCCATGAATCTGGAGACATGATCAGGTGGAGATCTCACCTCTGCTGAGTCGTCTGGCTCAGGCGTGATCGGACCCTCGCCGTCGTAGCTGTCCAGGTTTACCATCTCTGGTTACAAATTTGTCTGGTTATTAAACAGCCAGGTGCTTTCGTTCCAAACAAGAGGGTGTTGTGCTCTAACTTTCTCCCTCACCTTCAATGGGGTCTCTGGTCAGTCCCAGCTGGCTGATGATGTAACGGGGAATGTCCGTTTTCATCAGATGGCCCTCCTTAGCGTGATCCTCCGCCGCCTCCAGGAGATGATAAAACTGCTCTGGGTTAAACTCCTGCAGATCAATGATTAACTACTAAACCACAACAACAAAGCACTGATTAAATAATGTTAGAAAGAAAAACTTCCGATTATTTACCGTGGAATCAATATAAAACAAATATCAAATCCGAAAATAAACCAGAATTGTGAAATGGACATCATTTTCTTTGATTTCTAAAGAACGTCCAACAACTGTTTTGTTTCTCCATCTCATTTCCACCCTGTGCCACAGCAGATAAACTACTGGTCCCAGTGTCTGATATGGCCTCCTTGGGTTTCCATAGCAACAACTAAACACTTCCAGTTACAGTTGATCTTGTCCTGCCTGAAGGAGTTTGATCCAGAACCTGGATGTTTCATTCCACAGCAGCTTCAGACCCATCTCTAAACTTCCGTTCATCTCCAAGATCTTGGAAAAGGTTGTGGCTAAACAACTCACAGCTGCTCTTGATGAACAGAATATGATAGCTTCCAGTCAGGTTTTCGTAGAGCTCATTCTACTGAAACAGCTCTTCTTAGGGTCTCTAATGACCTTCTGACTCACAGTGATGCAGGGGACGGTTCTGTTCTGGTCCTGCTGGACCTGACTGCAGCCTTCGACACTGTTGACCATCACCTGCTACTGGAGAGGCTGAGAGACTGGGTAGGCCTATCAGGAACTGCTCTGGAGTGGTTCTCCTCTTATCTCTCTGAGCGCTCCTTTTCTGTGGCCGTCTCCAAGTTTAGGTCCTCTACCACCTCCCTTACCCATGGTGTCCCACAAGGTTCTGTGCTGGGGCCTCTGCTCTTCCTCTATCTGCTTCCTCTTCAGCACATCCTGAGCTCCTTCAAAGGAATCTCCTACCATCTTTATGCAGATGACATCCAACTGTACATCTCCTTTAAGCCCCATGAGATGTCTAAGCTGCAGCTGTTACACACCTGCTTAGACTCTATCAAAACCTGGATGGTGGGAGCTTTCTTCAGCTGAATGAAGATAACACTGAGATCCTCATCTGTGCCCCAGACAAGCTGGTTCCCAAAGTCAGAGACTCTCTTGGTCAGCTTGCTTCTCACACCAAACCTTCTGTCAGGAATCTTGGCGTGACCTTTGACCCGGCTCTCACCCTGGATTCTCAAGTCAGTTCTCTTGTTGGCTCTTCCTTCTTCCATCTCAGGAACGTTGCTAAGCTGAGTCCCATTCTGTCCCGCTCTGAACTTGAGACAGTTCTCCACACCTTCATCTCCTCACGCTTAGACTACTGTAACGCTCTTTTCACGTGTCTGAGCAGAACCTCCCTGAACCGTCTACAGGTGGTTCAGAACGCCTGTGCTCGGCTTCTGACCAAGTCCTCCAAACACACCCACATCACCCCGCTTCTCCTCCAGCTTCACTGGCTGCCAGTCAACTCCAGGGTTCATTTCAAGATCCTGGTTCTGGTCTATAGGGCCTTACATGGACAAGCACCATCTTACATTGGTGATCTTCTTAGTCCCTACACCCCCAGCAGGTCCCTGAGGTCCAGTGATCAAAGCCTACTGGTTGTGCAGCACCAGGCTAAAGGTCAAAGGTGACAGATCATCTGCTGCTGTGGCCCCCAGACTCTGGACCTCCCTCCCCCTGAGCCTGAGACCAGTGGACTCAGTGGTCTCCTTTAAACTCACCTGTTCAGGCTTTGGTGGGACCTTCATCACCTCCCTCTCGTTATTCTCTTCTTATTCCGCCTTTCCCAGGAGCCACTCATTTCCCTCTTTCTATTATTTTCTCTCTCCCTTTTCTTACATTTTTAATCTTAACTGTTTTTATTTGTTGACATTTTAAACATATTTTAATCAGATTTTTTAAATTCTTTTTTATATTTTAAATTTTCTGTTTTTGTGAAGCGCCTCGTGATTTTTATCTTGAGAAGCGCTATAGAAATGATCGTTTTATTTCTTTCTTTCTTTCTTTCTTTCTTTCTTTCTTTCTTTCTTTCTTTCTTTCTTTCTTTCTTTCTTTCTTTCTTTTTATCAAACAAACTGGATTTTGACTCTTTCATGACAAAACTTTAATTCCTACTTTGAACACATTCTGACACCAGAACACGTGTGCTGAGGGTCCTCTCCTTGTTACATGATCTGCCTTTCTATTCATCTCACATCAGACATCCCTAGACTCTGTATTTTATAATCTAATTATGTGGTTTCATCAATGATGTCAACCTGTCGGGTCTTCTATTCAACAGCTTCAGCTGTGTTTCCACTAAAGGAGTTCTGGGAAATTTCTGGGGGAGGGAAAAGTGACCAGGAGATCTGATGGCTTGGTCTTCTCAGCTGCTGTCTCCATACAAAATCAGTCCTTTTAGGACTTTACTAAGACATGAACATCAAACACGTGGAACACTCGTTTAATCAATACATCTGCTGCGGTCTCTAGTAGGGCTGAATGCCTTGTAAGTCGTACTCTGGAGAAAAAAAGCTCATACGCGACTGTTCCACGAACTAGAAAATTTCCACATCTGAGTTGAGCTTCCGACAGCAGGATATGGAGTTTAGAGACTTCCTGATATCTGGACATCTCTCCTCTGATTGGCTAACAGCAACACGACTCTACCACTGACTCTTTTTGCTCTGCACCGCTGATGTTTTATCTCCACAAATAACACAAGCCTGGAGGAGTTCTGCTGTGTGGTGGAGCTGCTAATGCTAACAGTTAGCTTCTACTGGCTAAGACATTCTCTGCTGTTTCCTGGACTAAACCAACAACAGCCTTCCCTGTCGTGAGTCCAGATGGGTGAGTCCATGAATGTTAGTGACAGTGTGACGTAGATCTGTCAGGCTTTTCTAATCCTAGAGTTCCACCGTCTGTTTTCTATCCGAAGCTACTGCAGGAGATAGGTGTAGGAGACTATTTTCATGCTCAGCCTGCATGAATAACTCAGAGTGACCCGTTAGAATCAGACATAATCATTAAAACATGGTTTTCAGTGTTCCACGTCTTAAATAAACTTGAAATTTTTGTTTTGCTAAAGCGCCTCATATGTGAATCCATTTGGGGGATTGGAGAGCTGCTGTGAGATAAAAGCGGTGGTAAATGACCAGAAGAAACAGTTTTAAAGCGCGTAAAAGCTGCTAATTTTCTCTCCTTCCATTCCACTTCACTAGAGACTTCTAGTTTTACAAACGACGGTTATTTTGGTGACGTCTGCTGAAGTAATTTCCTTCTGAATTACAACCAATCAGCAGGAGTTAACCTCGCTAATCGACTCTACCTGGCCACTCAGCGTACCGATCCCTGTTCAAGCGTTGTGTTGGTTCCAGAAAACAGCCCGGTGAAGTGGAGACGTGCATGCCATGTGTCATGGCCTGAGTCTGCTTCTCCCCTCATGTTTCTCCTTATGTTCTCCATCCCTCTCTAGATTCTCCTTTTGTGTCTCCTAGCGCCCTCATGTGTCCTTGTCTGCGTCTTCCTCTTGTGTTTCCTGGTGTTCCCCATTTGCCCCCAGATCTTCTGCCCTCTAGGTTTCCCCCTCCCAGGTCCTGTGCTCCCATGGCCCCCTTTTAGTCACGCCCCTGTGGTTTTGTTTTTGTAGTGTTTTTCCTCTAGTTTCAGCCCCCCCCCCCGGAATATTAGTCATGTTTGCTGCCCTTCTGGTTTTTAGGTTTTTCTCTCAGGTCATTTTCCTTTAGCTACAGCTGTTCATGTTATTAGTCTCTCTAGTGTGTTTTTCTCCATCGGTGTTTGAGGTTTTTTCCCCCTCCTTAGATTATTAGTTATGTTCCTGCTCTTCTTGTATTTAGTTTTTATTCTTAGGTCATGTTTGTTTCCTCCCTAATTAGTAATTGAGTTCACCTGGTCTCTCTCTCCCCACACACCTGCAGCCCATCTCCCTCTCATCCTCCCCAGTGTATATAACCCTGTCTGTGTCTCTGTGTGTTTGTCGGTCCATTGTGTTTCTGTCAGACTTCTCGTTTGATCTCTAGTGTCTCCAGTGCTTCTAGTGTTTTGGATCTCTATTTAGTCATTTTGGATTTTTGGTTTTTGGCTCCCTGCCTTTGGATTACCCATAAATAAAGGACTTTATTTCATTTTTCATCCCTGCCTCGTCCGTCTGGTTATCTGCATCTTGGGTCCTAACTTCCTCCTAACCACTCGTGACACCACGAGGTTCCGGTAAAACTACCCGGTGGAAACACACCTTTAAAACCAAATCATGACACTGCCAACACCGTGCTTCATAGATGAGATCACGTTACTGTTACAGAACTCAGCATTTTCTGTTCATCATGTAAACCAATAACAAGCTAAATCCATAAACACGTCTGTAATGTTGAACATCCTGGTGTGTTTGTTAAATGGCTAAAAGTTTCTATTTAATTAGGTCACTGGATTCTTCCACCGCTTGACATTCAGTCACTTTTCACCTTCTCCCACATGCATAAACCAAACATGTATGCTCAGAATGATAGTTTCTCCTCCTGGTCTCCTGAATGTAAACATTATTGCTCACTAAGTAACTGATTTCCACCACAGAACCAGTCCAACTGTTTGGTGATTAGATGCTACTGATGCCAGAAGTCTGGGAGCTCATGGGACGATAATGAAAAAAAAAAACAGGAAGTGAATGAATGAATAAATGAATTCTCCTCATCAGTCTTTCTGCTGTCGCTCGCAATCCTAAAGCGATTCAGCACAACACGAGTCATGCAGGGCGGCACAGCTGACATCCTGTTATGGAACACACACACTCGCTTTAGACATCTCCCGACTTTAATGACCTGGTGGTCACGGTCTGGAAAGGCATTAGCTCTGCGCTGGAAAGAGCTCTTTTTAATCTAAATGCAAATGTATTTGTCATCCTCGCAGACCAGACCGAGACTTCTACTTCTGTTTGGACTTGTTCTGCTTTCCTTCCTGCAGTGGAACACATCACGCTGCTTACAGATCATTGTGAGAGCTCGTGTGTGTGTGTGTGTGTGCGCGCGTGCGTGTGTGAGCTAACCAGACACTCCAAAAGCCGAGCGGGTCGGGAGATGATGATGAGAAGCTTTTTCACCAGCTCTGTGACGAAGGCTACCTCAGAGCTCTCAGAACGCTCAAAGGCCTGGAAGACAGAAATCAGACGACATCGATGCACAAAGTAAAGAATCTGTCAGGAGAAAGACGGGAAGGCAGAGTTTGTGAATAAGGACGATGAAGCGTTTCAAAATCTGATCACACAAACAGAGTTAACACCTAAACAGGCACCAAGTCGACACAAAGAGTGACGAAATTCTCAGTTATCCCTTATCTGCTGGGATGAATCACACGCTCAGTCAGACACCTCTGACTATCACAGACGTGTTATGTCTGAATGAACTTAAACGGCCTCAAGCTGCAGCCGTGCTGTCTGTTTGTGTCACCAGTTATAGTTAATAAAGTTTTACTAGTGATCGGAGCATAAAGTCTAAAGTATTAAAGTAGAAAAGGTTTCATATTAAAACTGTTAAAGGGGCCAGATGGTGGTAAATCCACGTACCGTGTGATACTGTTAGGGTAAACCCATTTCCTCTCTCAGCTGCAAATTTAGAGTTTTACTTTGAAAATCCAGTACAGCCTTAATGGAAACTAATTTCGTCATCAGGCCCTCCTCCTCTCCCGGAAGCTCGTATCTGGTCTGAAACCTGTCTCCCCTGGCTAGCACAGGACATGTGGCTTAGGCGACTAGTACTGTGTCACAGACTCGGTAGTCTAGTGCTCGGGGTGCAGTTTTCCACACGATCGCCTTCTGGTTGCGGCAGTAACGTTTTCTTCTTTTCTGGCTACACTTGCCAGTATCATGTTTTCAACCCTTTATTGGTAAACGGTTTAAAATATAAGGACTGGTCTGTTTTATAACTTGCTTTGTTCATGCAGCCAGTGTGAGTCCGTGTGAGGTGAGCAGAGTAAATCCACTAAAAGGCTGCTTGGATGAAAAAAATGAAATCTGCTTCAGCTGACTAAATAAATCACTGCCCACTCCGGGAGTCAACCCCATGTCAGCACATCGCAAAACCTCGATGGCAGGCAGACACCTAAACCACTGGACAGGCATAGCCTAAACCAGCACCTGGGTCTCCATTCTGTTGGAGCAGGCGTGGGCGGAGCCTCGCTGAAACAGTGTTTTATCTCCAGGTAGAAACTCAGGCTGACGAAAATTACTCATATTTAAGATAAATGACATCTCAATAGTGCCAACGGTAATATTTGATCATAAACTGTGCCTATCTTTGCTCTCAAAGGCTTAAAATAGTGTGAAACTTTAATAAGATTATTGGTGAAATACATGATTGATCATCTTTGGTATGTTCTTGCGGTGTTGCTTTTCTAACTGCATTGTTGGTTCTTTTTTAACCCTCTCACCGTATTTATGGGTGACCCCGCAAGGAAAGTTGACCGTTGAGCAGGGTTGATGGTTTATCCCTTGGGTCCGTGTAGCAGGGGTGAGGAGTGAGCACCACCTCACCCCTGCTACACGGACCCAAGGGATAAACCATCAATCCTGCTCAATAGTCAACTTTCCTCGCGGGGTCACCCATAAATACAGTGGGAGGGTTAAATCACAGAAATGGTTTCTTTTTACCTTGCTGACAGTTTCGTTCGCGGCTGCAAACTTCCTCAGAGCACGGGACTGCGTCATCGGAGAGGGGAGAGGTGGCAGCAGAGGGCGACAACGTCCTCTGCTGCCCGCGGATAAACGGAGTAGGAAGGGACGCCACCATCAGCGTCAGCTCTGAGGAAGTTTACAGCCGCGAACGAAACTGCCAGCAAGGTAAAGAGAAACCTTTTCTGTGTTTTAAAATAGAACCAACAATACATGATTGATCATTGGCCTGCATGTGAACCCTTCTAGGGTTCTCCATACGTGCACACAAACATTCACACGGTGATGGTGCTGGGCTGCTGTGTGGCCACGGCTGCTCTGGGGTGCACTAACAGGGGCGAGGCCAACAAGCTCAGGTGCCACCGGTCCATCAAACCACTACAGCAGGCAAGGCAGGTTAAGTGTCTTGCCCAAGGACACAACAGCAGAATTCTCTGCTGGGAGCCGGGATCGAACCTGCAGCCCTGCGATTACTGGACATCCCGCTCTACCAGTCAACTTCAGGGTTCATTTCAAGATCCTGGTTCTGGTCTATAGGGCCTTACATGGACAAGCGCCATCATACATCGGTGATCTTCTCAGTCCCTACACCCCCAGCAGGTCCCTGAGGTCCAGTGACCAAAGCCACCTGGCTAAAGGTCAAAGGTGACAAATCATCTGCTGCTGTGGCCCCAGACTCTGGACCTCTCTCCCCCTGAGCCTGAGATCAGTGGACTCAGTGGTCTCCTTTAAAAAGCAGCTGAAGACTCACCTGTAGAGGCTTTGGTGGGACCTTCTGCTGATTCTTTCTGACTACCTTCTCTTCATGCTGCTGCTTCTACCAATTCTGTCCCCCCGGGATCCCGAGACAACTTTAGGTGCCTTACAGCGGAAAGCCAAAGTTTTTCTCAGAGGGCACCATCCAGAGGTGGGAAAGGTGTGTTGCACCTTTAAACCCCTCCCTCCCTACTTCCATGAATACGGCTGTTAGCAACGGGTGTTTCTCATTGCCAAGGAACCTCGCCTTGATGTCTTGGTCCCGCCCGGTTGCCTAGGAGATACGTCATCGGGAGCCGCCAAGACGTGTTCCAATGTTCATGTTCTACCGAGGCATGTGTTCTCCGTGTGTTAGCCGTTTAGCTAGCTGAGCAAGGATACACGAGAGGTGTCTTGTAGCCTAGCCTTGGTCAAAAATGACCCACAATACACCGCTGTATTTTCAAAAGGACGGCGGATCAGAAGCCAGCAGCTACTTCGGGGACAATTTTCAAGTTTAAAAGTAAGTCATCTAATTTAAAATGTTTTTTAGATCCAAAGAAGTTATCTATGGTTGGTTACTTGCTTCGTAGTTGCAGCTTCGGTGGCTAGTGGGTAGTAACTCACTTATATTTTTAATTCAATAAACATATACCGTAAATCCTCTAATATTGGCCTGTAGTTAATTAACGGCCGGGTATCACATTTTGGCCGGTGTTGGAGTCGGCGGAGGTGAATAATGGCCGTTTTTTTTATTGTGGCCGGGTGGAATGTGGTAACAAGCAAGTACGGGGGGCGGTTGTGTCATCTCTCACTTTTGATTTGCCAGTGATAGACCGCGAGGGTAACTTTAACCGTGCGGAGACGAAGAGGAGGCGAAAATTTGATGTCAAGTTCAAAGAGAACGTGCTGATTATGCTGCAGAACACTCTGGGGAGCAGTAGCAGGGGTTGTACGCACTAGTCAATGGTCGACTTCACCGCTCTATAGTGACTTTTTATGCCTGTCATCGACTAGTCGCTGTCACGCGATAATGACCGGCAAGATGCAGTCCACGGAAAAGACAGCAGCCTGCTGTCAGCAGGTGACAAGCTCCTGCGCATCGAGAGGCAACGCGCTGTGCCAGAGCGTCAGCACTGACACCCGCCGTAAAACGGACATTTAACCAAATTGTGACGTTTACTCTCTTGGAGGGGAGGGCTGAAGCAGAAACTACCGTTGTTAAAAGAAATGTGTTTAACTTTGAAAATGTGGGCGCAATTTTAATTGTCAAAAACTCCAGCGAACCATTAGTTCATTTTGCTCAAATAGAAATTGAGACCTGCCTCTAATTCTGGTCCTCCTTCCAATAAAGGCCTGGAGCTTGATGAGCTTGAGTCAAATACAGGCCCGGGCCTGTATTAGAGGATTTACGGTACACAATTAAAAAGTAAAAGGCTCGTTATATATTTATGTTGACACTAATACGTATAAAATATAACGTTATCTCCCGTGTCACGTGACGTTACGTGACCGCCGTGGAAGCAGCGGTCACGTGATGCAAGCCTGTTCCATTTAACCGTTTTCTTTGACCAAGGAAGGACCGTGTCCTCGTAAGCAAGGCGCCTGGCCTCACAAAACATCGCCTCGCAAGGCCAGGTGCCTTGACGTTGAGAAACGCCCAACGTCTCTCTTTGTGAACGTGCACCTCTAGAGGGATAACAGAGCATTGTTGCTATGCTGTGACTTCTTAAATATATATTAATGATTTACTTGTCCATAAAAAATGTCCTTAACTCTGCATCCATCTAGGTACCGCCTCAAACACTCTGATTGACATCTGTACGTAAGCAGACGTCTAACCTAACTGACCAATGCAAACAGGGCTCTACGGGACGGAGGTTGAGCTTAACAAAAATCCTTTAAATTGACGTATTGCCTACGTCACAGTACGAACATAATTCTCTGGATTTCTGCTTTAATCAGCTGAAAATCAGCTCATCTTTTACTGATTTACTGGTAGTTTCTCTTTGGATTTGTTTGATAGACCTTGTCGCATTAACCAACACACACCCGTTACACTGAGACCAGTGTCTCTGCTAGAAACGAGACACCTTCCAGTTAAAGTGTAATCTGCAGCCACACTGGCAAGAAAAACCCTTTCTGGAGGAAAGACTGACAGTCAGACGAGGCAAAGATTCAGTTTAGTCTCAGTGACGAGATCTGGTGGGTCAAAGTGAGGGTTAGGGAGAACACTGTACTAACAGTCAGGCACGGCGGTGGCAGCATCATGCTGTAGTGCTGGTGAATTAAAGACACACTTCAGAGCTCGCTTCTGATTGGGTAAACCGGGCTAACATCAAGCTGTAGGTTGTACAATCATTCCAAATTGGAAAAAGAAAAGTTCAACTTGATTGTTAAAAGCCTGAAACTTCTTCATCTCAGTAAATGGTCCAGTCAGCCTTGTAAGAGTTTGTTGCCACTGTTTGCTTTAACTCACATCATGAAGCAGCTTCTCCAGTTTCTCCTGCAGCTCAAAGAAGTAGACGGATGTGATGAGGCCTTCCTGGGATTTGGCCAAGCAGTCTCTGGCCAGTTCAGCTAGCTGGTGGTGGATGAAGCTGAGGACTCCGTCGGCCAGAGGAAGAACGCTCTCTGGTGAGAAGGCTTGGATGAACTCAGCCAGCCTCTCCTCCATCTGGGCCGTGGCCTGATGGAGCAACAGAGGTCGGGATCACACGATCAAGATAAAGTTCACAAAAAAGCTCTTCCTGTAGATGAGGCGTACGTTTGTGGCATTGGGTCGTAAACCCTCCGGGTAGTGATTGTGACTGTGCTGATGGTTTTTTCTGGTAACCATTCCTAAACGCGTTTACCTCTGATGAACTCAAACTTTATGGACCATTTCCTACAGCCTGATGTTCATTGGTGTAAAAAGCTTTCAGCCCATTTCCTCTTCATGTAAACACCAGAGAACACAATAAAAATGAGTCCTTACTCATCAGTTAGAGAAAAAAGCAGCATTCTCTCTGACACGGAGATAGAGTCACATGATACTCTGATACGGCTTTATCAGGCGTCACACTTCCTGTTTGGACGTCTGATGTCAAATCCTTAAACATGTTCAACGAGAGCTAAAAGGGTGTGTGTGTGTGTGTGTGTGTGTGTGTGTGTGTGTGTGTGTGTGTGTGTTACCTTTGGAAAGCGTTCTTTGTACACGTGGTTCATCATGACTATCTCATTATCGTAGCAGGTGGAGGAGCGTCCTGGGCTGAAGAGAAAACATGAAAGTCTTTTCTCTTTTTGAAAATAAACCTCCCATGCTGCTAGCAATGTGGTGAATGTTTCATTAGACGACTAACAAAAAAAAAAAAACGATGTTTTCACACAAGAATTAAGCTCAAGTGTGTCTGTCTGACTTCAGTGAGCTGCCTAAACCTCAGCACAGAGGAGGCCGTCGTCAGACGGGGAAACTAGCGCATTTGTTCTACCAGATCTTGACTCGGGTCTAAGCGGCGTTCTGTTTCTTCACAAATGGACAGGAAGTTTAATTCATGGACCATGTGACCGTGTACAAGGCCTCCGTCACATGGTTTAATAACAATAAGGCCAACACAAGATACTGGTTTTTAGTAAAGTTATGCAAAAGGAGCTAACAAGTCGGATTTTTGGTTAAAGACAAAAAATATTTTAATTTTTTTAAAGAGCAAGTTCACTGAGAAACCGTTATTGTTATTGCTGACATACGATCGGACACTCCGAGTTTAACTCATTCACTGCCAATGACGACTAAAGTCGTCATTTGCATTTTTTTTTACTGTGTGGGCGTCGGACGAGCCCCCGCACCGTGAGAACAAACATCTCAGCTCTAAAGCTGATCGTCATGCGCATACGTCACACGTCACGTGATCAGGAAGCAGAACATCCACGTGTTAGGAGATCGTTTTGGGCCGCTGCTGTAAAAAAAGTGAGGCACAAACCGGAAAAGCTTCTGCCGATCACAATTCAACAACGGATTATGAAAGAACAGATAACGCTCGAAACGTACGGATTCTTCCTGATGTAAGAGGCGAGTCTCCGCTTTGTTTTGGTAGTTTTGGCGTCGACATCATCCTAGCGCGCAACGTTCTGTGACTCTTAAAAAAACTGTAAAAGTGCTGAGAAACGCTGGCAGCGAAGGCCTTTAACGATCAGGAAACGCTGGCAGCGAATGAGTTAACAGTCAGGCTAAACGTAAAAATAGTCTTCTACCTCTATCTTCTGCATTACACTGTCACTTAACATTCACAGACTCACCCATCTGGACTCACGACGGGGAAGGCTGTTACTGGTTAAGCATCCAGGAAACAGCAGAGAACTTCTCAGCTAGTAGAAGCTAACCGTTAGCATTAGCAACTCAACTCAAAATGACTTTGCTCTGCGTGTCGGTCTAGCCACGCTCCACTGGAACTTCGGCAGCCCGGACAGCCTGGTGCTGGTCCAATCACAGCGCTCTATCAGTGTGTTGGGCGGGATATTACGACTGAACGAAACTAAGATGGCAGTGGCTCGTTTGAAATGGCTATGTCATCAGCTTTGGACTATTTAGACTTAAGCTTTTCTTTGAGTCAAGAGCAGAGAGACGGACTTAAGTATTTTATTTAGAAAGAGGACTTATTTGCGTCTTCTTCAACAGAGCGATGAGTATGTCATGTTTTTTTTTGTCCGATAGCATTCGGAGACAGTTTAGAAAAACAACCGTAGATCCCACCCCACGACTGACAGCCATCAGTGGGTCGTTGCCAGACTCAGAGACTTCTGCAGATGCATTGAAAATACTAGTGACCTTAGTCTTGAAATATTTTGTATTGTACAAAACTTTTTTTTTTTCATTAAAAGAAATTTCATTTATTTTTGTTGGACCCACCATTACAAAAAAATGAACTGATCTTGAATTGCAGTTAAAGTGACAGTGTGTATTTTTCCTGACGGTAGGGGGCAGTAGATACCTAAATTGTTGCAAGCAAGCAGTATTTCTGTGTTGGAGTAAGACCTTACCAACGGATGCCCACTAGGGTCAAAAAGCCCTGGGGAGTGCAAGCTTTAGCAAAATAACAAGCACATCAGACTTCCTCTCAACAAGTGAAGAGGTAAATGTGTAAAACAACAACGTTTAAGAACGGCAAAAGTTTTGTAGCCGTTTGTTACAAATCAGTAAATGCACTTTGTTCTAACGGGCTCCCGGAGAAGGAAACATGGAATCTAATATGGCATCGACCAGAGACTTAGACTCGCTCCCATGTTTTTTAGAGCTGATTTTTATGGTTTTATGTTACAAAGCCACCAATCTTTTTCAACAACTGGGCATCCTTTCTTTCATTTTCAACATTTTGATTGAAATTTCCAGAAATTAATGGTAAAAACTACACATTGTCCCTTTAAGTACCACATAAGCTCACTCTGAGGGCCAAAAATGGCCCACAAGCCGCACTTCAGACACCCCTTTAATAAAACTTCAACATTAAACACACACACACCCTATAAGCTGCCTGTCTGTCCCGTATTTTTACTGCCATGCCATTGGTGTGTATGGTGTTTACAGCTGGAGCTTAGTCTTAAGAGTGGAGTCAGACTGTAAAATAGTTCTTGACCCCTGGATGCACTGGAAGTGCTACATTTTGTTCCTCCAGGTGGTATTTTCGTGGAAAACCAGAAAAAATGACAGATCAGACACAAAGAAAAAGCTCAGCGTGCCGTTTGGCAGCGGACGCTGCTCTTTCGTTTCGTTGCTTTGGGCTGCTGACCTGAGGCTGCGGGAGCGAGGGCGCATGTGGGGGGAGCAGCGCCCCCCGTCGTCATCAGTGATGCTCTCGCTGCTGCCGAAGTGCTTGGACAGGAAGTGGAGCTCATCCATGGTGGGTTGGGAGGGCAGCTGGTGCAGGCGCTCCTGGGATGAGCTGGAGGACTGGAGAGAGAGCACGAAGAGAAGGAGGATCGGGGAGGAAGAGTTGGCAGATTAGGAAGGGAGACAAGAGTGTGGAGGAGGAGTTCAAAGCATGATGAATGGAAACAGAAGAGGAGGAAATGAGTGAGGCGTCATGAGTCGGGCTGTAATTACAGCCCGACTCATGACGCCTCGTGTTTTCAGACACCAGGAAGCTCAAACTGACACAGTAACACGGCTGTCCCGTGAGCCTCGGTGGAGGGGGACTCGTGGATCTGTCCATCGCACAAACATTGTGTCACGGCTTCGTTATCTTCCCCCAGAGGAAAGAAAAACACCTCGTCCAGTTGCGTCTAAGCGAGAGATGGATCCCTGATTAACCACAGGAGACTAGCTAATAGAAAACACCCAGGCTGGAAAAGGTAGACGTAACCACGGCAACCGCATCTCTTCAAGTCAGGTCCAACAGCATTAAATCATCTTTTAAACATTCTGTAAGTGACCCAGAAAAGAAGCGGGAGGTGAAATAAAAAACCATCCCTTATCTTCAATGTCAATTTTATCTATAAAGCACATTTCCAACAATCAGACACAGACAAGCAGTAAATAAAATGATAAAACACTGAGATCCATCCAGTAGACCCTAAAATTACTTAACTATAAAATCAGTTAAAAGCAAGGGTAAAAAGGTGGGTTTTTAAAAGAGACTTAAAAGCAGGAAGACCGTCAGCAGACCTAATCTGTAGGGGGAGGCTGTTCCAGAGCTTGGGAGTGGCCACAGAAAAGGCTCGGTCGCCTCTGGACTTCAGCCTAGACTTGGGAACAGATAAAAGATGTAGAGAGGATGATCGGAGGTTTCGTTTGGGGACATGAGTGTTTAAAAGTTCCGACAGATAAGGAGGGGCCAAATTGTGCTGTGCCTTAAAACAGATCAGTAGCACTTTAAACCGAATCCTGTAAGTGATGGGGAGCCAGTGAAGAGCTTGTAAGACCGGTGTTCTTCAGTAGGGTCACGGCGAGCAGCCATGGGGCGAGAGGCGGGGGATGATCTGGACTGGTCTTCAGTCCACCACAGGGACACACTCACTCACGCCTATGAACACTCTCAACCCGGTTAACCTAGCATGCATGTTTCTGGTCTGTGGGAGGAAACCCACACACGCATGGGGAAAGCATGCTAACTCCATGCAGAAAGACGGGATTCTAACCGGTGACCGTCTTGCTGCGAGGCAACGGGGCCACCAGCTGCACCACCATGCAGCCTGAACATTAGCATCATTTACTTCCATAACAAGGTGTTGTAGCTTTAGTTAGCATCGAGCTACGTGAAACTGGTTTAACTGGTTTTGGTAACGGATAAACACTTTTAACGGGACTACATTTAGTCTCCAGCTAAGTGAACGTGAAACAACACCATGTTCTCATCCTGGGTCAGATTTTAATTTAATCGCTGTCCTCCCGCCGGCCTGGTGCTCGCCACGCTGCCTCTTATTCTCTAACTTTCACCAAACTCTAGCGACAGACGGACGAGGCGGCGGGCCGTTCACGTCACCGTTACGCAACAGTTACACTCCGCCGATGGGCGGGAGGGAAACAAGTGATGAGCTAGACATAACAGTAGTCAGTTTTAATAGTTTTATGATATCACAGCTTAAACTGATCACGGGAACTCTGGCAGGTCGACTGCTCGATGGACTGTTTTACTGAAACGTGCTGAACTTAATGTGTAAATATGTTTTTTCCACTAAACACTCATTGCAACAGAAACCCTCTAAGGATTTAAATGGAATTGATGTAAAAAAACTGAAACTGAATTGTTTAAAAGACAAACAAATGATTTACGTAAACGACTCACTTGCCATTGCCTGGTCTGCCAGACTCGTCCTCTGTTTAATTCTGCACAGAGAGAGTCTGGTAACTCACAGGCAGAGGCAGTTGAGGGGCGGGACTAGGCAGCTCAAAAGCAACCAATCAGAAAAAAGGTGGAAATGCCGACTGTACCGCACGACGCTGTAGTTTTCTAGCTGGCAACGGTGCGACCATCTTAAATTTTTGTAGAAGAAAGGCTTTTAGCGCTTCTACTCGTGGTTTTAAAGGCATTCTAGTCATTTAGACCAGAGGAAAGAGCCGCAGCGAACTCCCCTTCAGTCGCCATGTTCGACAAACTCGGCGTTGTGGTGTGTGACGTACGCTGCTCAGCGCTGATTGGCTGGGTTTGAATTCTCACGGGGTGGAGTTATTTGAATAGGAGAGTTCCCAGACCCTTTCTCTGTGCAGAATTAAACAGAGGAGGAGTCTGGCAGGCCAGGCTACACTTGCTAGTGAATTTATGAAAACATGATTCTTGCTGTATTTGTTGCATAGAATGACAACAGAACCTAATGTTGTTATAAGTCCCATTTAATAGATTGGCAAACAAACATTCATATAAATATAAATTTAAGCTAATTTCTAATTATTTTTACAGACTTGTAACCTCAAACATTTAAATCCAATTTCGAAAAATATAATCAAAAATATGAATTTTAATGCAATTTTGAAATGTTATTTTTTTAGTTTTAAAGAGCAAGTCACGCCTAAATTAACTTTTTTTTCTGATAAACTACATAAATGTGTGTCTAATTGTGCTGCAGACATGTGTCGTCAATAGTTTTGCACTTTAGTGCATTTTAGTTACATTTTTCTGCCTAAAACTGTCAGTGTTGTGCCGTTGCCAGGTAAAAACTCTGCACTGCATTTGAATTTAAATCTTCCACCGCTATTGGCTAAGAGGTGCCCTAGAATGTTAGCTGGTACCATATGATGTCACAATGTCATTGTGAGCCTGTGTGTGTGTGTATTTGTTAGTGGCTCCGCCCTCTCGGTCTGCTAGGCAACAGCATTTGCTGCATTTTTCAAAAGGGAAGTGGGAGTGGAGTAATACTCTGGTAGGGGCTGACTTGCTCTCTAAGGATGTTGATGATTATCATTCTTCTTGTTTTAAGGCTTCAGTCACTGACTGGCATCAAAGTTTGTTGTTTGCCAGAGATCATCGTGACTTTTATGATATTACATTAATATGAATGTAAAAAAACGTCTCAGGTATGAAAAAACAAACAAATGTTTATTAGTTTTAAATCCACACTAACACTAAATAATTAAACTTTATCGATCAGCCACTTGAACAAAACCGATACAGAACGCTGCTATAAAAGCAGCGAATAGCTGCTACGTGTTCTCAGCAGAAACGAACAAACCCGCCTACGAGTAGAAAAACAGTTAAAGATGATGTCATGAAGTAAAAGTTGTTACCGTTGAGCTGGGGGTGTTGGTGCCATATCCAGATGAAGGCAGAGAAGCTAAAGACCATCTCCTCCCATCCGCTCTGCAACAGACAAAAATATCACAGCCGCTAAAAAACAACAGCTTCTTCCTAAAACAGTCATCTGACAACTTTGAATGACCTCTCATTCGTCAAAATATTTTAAAAACGGTCGGGAGAGATTTTCATGGCTTCTAAAATGAAAAGTTTTACAAAATCTTTTAGCAGACAAATGACTTATAACACATCTAGTTAATCTCCCTCAGCGAGCCGAGCCGAGTCATTTGGCGAGCCTTCGTGGCGCCGTGACGGGCAGGCAGACACATCTGAGAAATGAGGATGAGAGACTCGCAGCCTCCAGAGTCACCGAGGAGGGAGATAACTGTCACAAAAGGCTTCAAAACGCACGAGAGGCTTTCTTTGGTTCAAACACAAACTTCACTGCTGTTTTATCACCACCGGTTAACCACAATGATCACTATTATAGACACACTGCTTCATCTTTAATGTGGCATTCATGCTTTAGTGAGTTTTTCCTTCCCTACAAAGAGTTATAAAAACGAACAGGAAGTCGTAGGAAACCGCGCTCAGGCGAAGGCTCTATGATCCACATAGACTCAGCAAGTCTGTCCAAGTCGACTCGCAGCGTACAAAACAAGTGCACTTTTTCAAGATTGATGCTTCTGCTAAATTTGACTCAGTCAGGAAAACCCATCGATCCCATTGCTCCTTATTAAAGCCAGTATCTCTCTGGGCTGCGACTGTTGGTGACCAGCTAGAGACACCAAACTGAGTTGGTTCAGTACGACACGTTTACCAAGTTTTCTATATGGTCAAGTCACCAGGGGAATGTGACATACCGTAAATCCTCTAATATTGGCCTGTATTCCATTGAGGTAGCGCAACTCGTGTTGCGAATGACCGCAGTCACCAATTCTTGTCATGTGTCTTGCCCATGTATGTCTGATCTCTGAATTGTGTGTACTGAAACTCTAATTTCGTTTCTCTGTATGTCTTGCACATGTGGTAGAAATGACAATAAATGACTATGACTTGACTTTGACTTTGATTAACGGCCGGGTATCACATTTTGGCCGGTGTCGGAGTCGGCGGAGGTGAATAATGGCCGTTTTTTTTATTGTGGCCGGGTGGAATGTGGTAACAGGCAAGTACCACAGGGGGCCGGTTGTGTCATCCGTCTCACTTTTGATTTGCCAGAGATAGACCACGAGGGTAACTTTAACCGTGGCAGGTGCGGAGCCGAAGAGGAGGCGAAAATTTGATATCAAGTTCAAAGAGAACGTGCTGATTATGCTGCAGAACACTCTGGGGAGCAAGCTGCTAAACATTTTAACATCGACCCATCAAACTGGATGAGGATTAAACTGAATTGGATTACCGGTATTTTATTTTTTTTTACTTTAAACTGGACAAAGATTGAATTGAATTTGAGGGTTTTTATTTTATTTTTTACTACAACCCAAATGAGACGAAACAATTCAACTTTGAAGCGGTAAGGTGGCTGTTGCCTTTTCTAATACCGGTATTTAATAACGTTTAAAATGCAGTACAGGTACGTTTGCTATTGTTTTGTTACAATACAGTATTTCCCTTCTGTAATTTAGCCTTGTTGTTAATGTTTTATATGCAAATCGTACCACGTTATGGTAACTGTACATTTTCAATAAATGAACCTAGTATTTTATAGGTTCAAATAGACACACCCCGTTTTTATTCATTCTACTGGTTGTTCATTTTGCTCAAATAGAAATCGAGGCCTGCCTCTAATTCTGGCCCTCCTTCCAATAAAGGCCTGGAGCTTGATGAGCTTGAGTAAAATACAGGCACGGACCTGTATTAGAGGATTTACGGTAATTGTGGCATTTTCCAGTCGTGTTCTATTCCCAAATAAAGTCCCAATTCATTCAGTTTGGTTTCCAACCTTCCCAAAGTGTCCGACATTTCCCAGACTTACTGAAACTAAATCAAAACCAGTTCCAGACGGTTCAAATCTGTCTTCTATCTAGTTGTAATAACTTTAAAAGTAAGAAGTGAAACCTGCACACATGACAGTAAAGCTATATATCTTGAAATCTGGTTCCAAATGAATTCCCAATGGAAAAGAGAACTCTGTGACTGATTGGAGATTTGATGAGTTCAGGTGCAAAAAAGATATTTTTAAATGATCAAAAAGTGTGTTTTAACATTTAGTTTAGCTGATTAAAGTTTGGTGAGTTTGGTCAAAAATGGGTTTCATCTACCTCATTGTCTTGAAAACGCTTTGGAACATGAATGCGAGGCCCCGCAGTTCCTGTGAGAAAACGAATTCCCACCAATCAGATCTCTGACGATGGAGTAGTTACCTCTGTGAACACCCCCCCAATCTGATAAACTCTATGTGAAGAAGATGTGATGCACTGCATGAGGCAAATGTTGGTTACACCAGATACTGACCGGTTCTGAGTCCCCAGACCCCCAATAAAGCAAAAAAAAAAAAAACCTGCACATTTCAGGGTGGCCTTTTATTGTGGGCAGTATAAGGTACACCTGTGCACTACTCATGTTGTCAGATCAGTATCTTGATGTGGCACACCTGTGAGGTGGGATGGATTATCTCAGCAAAGCACAGGTGCTCACTATCACACATTTAGACTTATTTGTGAACAATGTTTGAGAGAAATGTTAATATTGTGTATCTGGAACGAATTTTAGATCTTTAAGTCCATCTCATGAAAAACCAGCGCAGAAACAAAGGTGTTGCATTTATATTTTTGTTGGGTGTATGTATCTTTTAGTGTCGGCTGGCTTAACCGAATAGCTGCAGCTGGTCCGTTTTTTAAGGTAGTGCATCAGAACTGAATGCAGCACTACCTCTTCCACCTCAGTCTGCCCAGTTTGCACACATTACACGTGTTTATTACACTCCCTTTGCTGTTCATTTAAAAATACGTCCAAGTTACAAACATTTCAAAAAAATTCCGAGTTCCTAAAAATCACATGGTTGGACCGATTTCTGATCACGTGATCAAATCAGAGCATCTCTAGTGGCAATGGCTGCATCAATCTCATTCAATCATCTACTCACTAAAGACCTGCTTCACACGTCTGAAGAGACTAGACACGTTTTCCCAAACATCACAAGAGGGGCACGTTTATGAAACTTGAAAAAAAAACTTGCCAAATGAAAATGGAACACCTGTAAACAGACCATGACCTACATTTGCATTTTTTTACTGTGTGAGCGTCGGACGAGCCCCCGCGCCATGAGAACAAACATCTCAGCTCTAAAGCTGATCTTCATCCACGTACGTCACGTCACGTGATCAGGAAGCAGAACATCCACGTGTTAGGAGATCGTTTTTGGGCCGCTGCTGTAAAAAAAAAAGTGAGGCTCGAACCGGAAAAGCTTCTGCAGATCACAATTCGATAACGGATTAGGAAAGAACGGATAACGCTCGAAACGAGCGGATTCTTCCTGATGTAGGAGGTGAGTCTCCTCTTTGTTTTGGTTGTTTTGGCATCGACATCATCCTAGCGCGCAACGTTCTGTGACTCTTAAAAAACAGTAAAAATGGTGAGAAACGCTGGCAGCGAATGAGTTAATGCAAATTTCGCTTTTTATGTCCTTCTTCTTTGCCACGTGGGTCTGCCGCCTCTTGCCGTCTTGTGACGGACACCAAATCTGTTTTCTGTCGCCGTTTGGTTTCAGGAACCGTCTGCTTCTCAGCGCTGTTTATAAAAGTCCCAGTAAGGTACTCTGGCACCAACCCAGTTGAGACAGCCGAGATTCAGTCGTATCCAAGTGAAGTTTGAGTTTTTAACCCTTTGATATCTTTTTGTTTCTATTAAAACAAATTCCGTTATATTGTGTAGAAGTACAAGAGGTACAGCATGTCTCCTTTAAGAAATAAATGATTAATAAATAATAAAAATCATACCTGATCCAGGCCATGCAGTGCTGTATGAGACAGATCCCGGGCATTGTGGGTCATCATGAAGGCATTACAGAAGTTGTCTTTAGGCTGATAATTAAAACCTCACGGGTGTGTGGGGCTGGAGATGCTGCTGTTTAAAACATGTCTCCTGAACATCCTCAACCCTCCTGTATAAACTCCAGCCTACTAGAGCTCGGTGTGAACTGATCAGAGTCAGGAACGCACACAACGCTCTTGTCTGCTCATTACAGCAGTGTGAGTAAACAGGGACAACTGTTAGTGTAATCAGGTGACCCGGTCACACACGAGCTAGCCTCTTAAGCCTGAGTCATGCTTCTGCGTCAGCGCGGAGACACGCAACGCCATTATCCGTCCTAGCAGGCCTGCTGGAGAGCCCCGCAAGGACAGACGGAGTCGAGCTCTCTTTTCTAGACATCCGTCAGTCGAGACGGACAACACAAGCTTGTGATTGGTCAGGACGCCGCTGTTGTTTACACCACCGGCATTGCGCCCTCAAAAACATAAAGAGAGCCGAGAATAACAAGCGGCAGACACGGAGAAGCTTGAAGAATACCTCGCGAAAAAACTCTAAAAACATGAACGTTTAATTCCCCGTGACTGGAGGAGTGAAAAGATGCGCAGCAAGCGTTTTATTGGTGGACGGGAATGACAGGAAACGCAGGTTTAGAGGTGGGGAGCGCATGAAGAGATGGAGGAGGATGAGAGACAAATTTGTCTGTGTTAAAAGTCTCTTATGTACAAAAAACACAATATAAACACACGATCTTGGACCAATACATGACAGGATACCACAGAACAGCGCTACGCCCTCTGCTGTCCTGGCAGGGAATTGCTTTGCAACACTCCCCAGGAGACGGAGAAGCATGAATCAGGCTTTAGTCTGCTAACATCTGTGAGGCCCTGCAGGATGTGACACTGCAGGCACACACACACACACACACACACACACACACACACACACACACACACACACACACACACACACACACACACACACACACACACACACACACACCTCTTCTCTCTCCATCCTCCACTTTGAGGTGACCCAGCTGTTGAAACACTCTTGCACTGAGACAGGTTCAAAAAGGCATGCAGAACATTCATCGACATCAGTGGTTCCCAACCTGAGTGGTATGACCCCCCCCCCCCCCCCCCCCCAGGAGGACAAAGTCTGTGCTGAGGTTGTGAGTTTACCAAGATTATATTTGTAAAAAAATGTTTCTGAAATCCCGATAACACACCTGACAGTATAATCCAACCCGACATGTCCGAGTGAAGTCCGTAACGAGGGGATTTATAGGAGCAGGGTTGGGAGCCACTGATGTAAATGATATGCTTAAGAGTAAAGAAGCAGCAACCTTCGGGAGGAGGCGAAGGAGAAGTGAGCGGGGTTGCTTGGGGAGAAGTTTCGGGGGCTGTCCAGGGGGCTGCTTCCTGCTGGGACAACAAGACACCAATGAGACACATCAGAAGGTCGTCAGAAGGTCATGGCAGCACCACAAAGCATCAGACCGAGTCCTAGCTTCACTGAAAGAGTGTTTGTGGTGTAGCTATGTGGTGTGGATCCTGTGTCCATGCCCCCCCCCCCCCACCACCACCACCACCAGGCTGAATCAAGCTAATCGGTGGAACGGCGTGCATGTTAGAACATCCTTGAGTCCCAGACATCAGATCATAGAGGAAAGTAAAAGAACCCATCAGACGTCTGACTACGCAGCACCAGACTCAACGGTCTAGGATGTCCTAAAATGCACACCGTAGCGCTAGGATTAATATGCAAGCCCCTATGGCACCTCCTGGTTACATCGTTTGTTTAAAGACCATAAAACCAGTGGCGGATCTAGAACATTACGCATGAGGGGCAAAGGGGCACCAAAATGTCAGGGTGGCAATGCTGGAATTCCTCATTAGGGCATGCAAACAAACTCAACATAACAGCCACAAAAATACATCTAAACTATTTTGTCACAATATCTCATAAGAAAACAGAGTTTTGGGGCACAAATGAGGGGAAAAAGCTGAGCCAAATAAAAAAAAGAATAGATAGAAAGGACAAATTAAAGAGCAAGTCACCCCCAAATCAACGTTTTTTTTCTGATAAACTATATAAATGTGTCTAATTGTGCCGCAGACACGTGTCCTCAATAGTTTTGCACTTTAGTGCGTTTTAGTTAAAATTTTTATTTTCTGTCTAAAACTGTCAGTGTTGCGCCGTTGTCAGGTAAAAACTCTGCTCTGCATTTGAATTTAAATCTGCCACCGCTATTGGCTATATTGCTGTAAGGCAGGGATTCCCTAAGTGTGGTGCAGGGTACGCGAGCTGCCACTAGGGGGTGCACGAGCTGCCGCTAGGGGGTACGCGAGCTGCCGCTAGGGGGTGCACGAGCTGCCGCTAGGGGGTACGCGAGCTGCCGCTAGGGGGTGCACGAGCTGCCGCTAGGGGGTACGCGAGCTGCCGCTAGGGGGTGCACGAGCTGCCGCTAGGGGGTACGCGAGCTGCCGCTAGGGGGTGCACGAGCTGCCGCTAGGGGGTACGCGAGCTGCCGCTAGGGGGTGCACGAGCTGCCGCTAGGGGGTACGCGAGCTGCCACTAGGGGGTGCACGAGCTGCCGCTAGGGGGTGCGCGAGCTGCCGCTAGGGGGTACGCGAGCTGCCGCTAGGGGGTACGCGAGCTGCCGCTAGGGGGTGCACGAGCTGCCGCTAGGGGGTGCACGAGCTGCCGCTAGGGGGTGCGCGAGCTGCCGCTAGGGGGTACGCGAGCTGCCGCTAGGGGGTGCGCGAGGTGAAAAGTGTAATGGCTGCAGAACTCAGAGAAGTCTGTCATATGTCACCATTAGCGTAGCCAGAAACTCATTTGTGGGTGGGCCTAAGACAAAGTAAGTGGGCCCAATAAATGCAATTGAAAACAAGTATATTTAGCTTGTGTGTGCGTGCGTGCGTGCGTGCGTGCGTGTGTCCTCCACATGTGCCCTAACTTCATAATAATAATGCGCCGAGCTTCAGCGCTCTGGCCTGCGCACGCCGATATGTTCCGTATTTGATCATTTTTAACGGTGTTGGA